CGTAGCCCATTAGAATTTTGATATTGCTAACTGAGGTCTTGTCCAGTGTTGATTGAAGTTGTCTGTAGAATTCCTCCTTTTTCTCTTGCTCTGCATTATTTGTAGGTGCATAGCACTGTATGATTGTGACCTTCCTTCCTTTTGAGTTGAACCTTGCTGTCATGATCCTGCAGGAGGAGATTGGTTCCCATTGCATGAGAGCCTTCGATGCTCTTGGCGACATCATGATAGCCACTCGAAAACTCAGTGTGCTGGTGGTTGTCCTCTGGGTGAAAACATCGGAGTAGATTATTGATTCTTTAGTTGACAGTTTGGAGAGTCCACTCCCATTCCATCTGCTTTCATCAATTCCTAACACTTCAATGTGATACCTTTCCATCTCTTTTGCAATCTGAGCAGGCTTGGTGTGTTCAAACATGGTGCGGACATTCAACGTTCCCACATTTACTTTCGCTTTCATCGAGGGAGAGAAGACACATCGGCTAATCAACTTTCTGAAGGCTTTCACCAACTGGCGCCATTTCGCCTCCCCAATTCCAGCGAGGAATAATTTTGCTATTATTTTTCATATTCCCTCTGTGCTTTGAAGTTTCTTTAGCGGTCACATTTGATTTACGAGGTAGGGTTGCTAGCCGTATGCCCAACCTTCCCTGTTTACTCGGGTTTAGGACCGGCCAGTAACTAGTGAACTAGTTAACCAGGCGAGGTTAGTGATGGGCAGTGGCTAGCAGCGGAATCCACTATGCGCATTTCGTCCTATTCGGGAGTCGTCAGTTGGATGTACCTACCTCCCAGGGAGTGATATTGTTCCTGCCGGATATCAAACTCAGGAGCGATCGCTTCAAACGCCACAGCGTTATCCACTATACCACCGAGCACATCAGGAAGGGTGAAATTAGCTCGCCGATGTATAAATGACTTGTTTAACGCGCAGACATCCGAACGAGTTTGTGTTGTCATATGTTTTCTTACCAGTAAGCTCTTTAAATAATTTCTATGTATTAGAAGAGTCCTTACACGATAAGAACTTCTCGTCGTATATAGTATTCAGACGTTGTATTTCAGACTTAATTAGGTAGTTAAGCCTTTTAGCGCCAGGGTGATCTCTTTCCTTATACAACCTTTCCTTTCCTCTCCGAAGCCTCTTCAGATGAGGAGAGGAAAGTCCGTCAAATCTCATGTAAATTGTTTCAGTAGGGCAGCAGATAGCGAGAATGAATCTGAGATAGCTTGCGATATTGGTAATAGTGTTGTCCAAAACTTCATCAGTAAATATATCCCAGTCCGTTTCTATTAGCATGCTTCTCAAACGTAATATATTTTCTTGTGAATAGCATCTGTATTGAACTTTCCTTGAAAGGTATGCTAAAGCTTTCTTCCATAATTTTCCGTACACTTTAGGCAAAACACGAACGGTACAGTGGTTGGAATTAAGCAGTGGAGCCCGTTTGCCGGCTTCATATATGACAGGTTCATTTGTAAATGCAAAGTCTAAGGTGTTGTCAAGACGAGTGGAAAAGTTAACCATATTTTTATGACCCAATGATAATAGAAAACTATAGCCACATGAGTTAAAATCGCCACAGATAATAGACGAGGAGTGTCCCAGAACCAGGGCAGCAAATTCGGTGAATTTATCAGCAAAAGTTGACAAATCTGAGAAACTGCAATCAGGTGTGACATACATGTTTGCGATACATATGTATTTGTATTTGCTGAAATGTTAGTACTAATAAATGCTGCTACACCACCACCACATTTCTTCGAAAAGCTTCGATCTTGTCGAAATAATTTTAAACTATCTAAGCAGACTAAATCATTATCATACAGATTATGAAGCCATGTTTCCTGCAGCATTATTACACCCGTGTTTCGATAAATATTTGTGGACAAGAGTGACTGGAGATAATCAACTTTATTCGGCAACGACCTGCAGTTTGTGCTAAGTATTTCCGGAATGGTCATTTGATCTATGGTCATACGCTTCACGGCTCGCTGCCATCCACAGTGGTGCTTCTTCTTAAATTTCCTATCAATTTGCGAAGCGATAGGCTGCAATGATTTTAAAAACGTGAGAGAATATACAATACGATCGGTTGACATAATGAAACGATTAGAACAATATAGAAATAAGAAATTTGATGCAATATACTTGATTGTAGAAAACGGTAGCCCAGAGTTCAAGCAGGCCGCTTTCTGCGGTTTGACTTGTACATAACGTTTGGTTAGTCTCCCCATGCTACGATACCTTCTGGCCCACACATCAGGAAGTGAAGGGGGTTTTTGGGCCCATAAAATGCGGCCATCCTGAAAGGCTTCAATGATCTAGGCGTGACTCTTAAAATATTCTTTTCATAGCGTAGAACGATCCGTTTGTTGGTTTTGACGTTGATTTCTTGGCTGACGGCGAATTGTGTGGGCATCTTTTGTTGACATACATCACGGACCTACATCAGTTGAAGAAACAACGGAAACCTAGAAGGACTGAACAGCTACCTTGTCCTAGCATGGGATTTCCCAGCAGTGCGCGCCCATTACCCATTACGAGTACCCTGCCACCACACCGGGTCATGGTCACGCTATATCGTGAACAGACAGAAGTGGGAAATATAGGCCAACGGATTCCAACCGGGCAGCTCAACGGTTACGTGCTGGCCACGGAATCTGAAAATCCTAGGTTCAACCACCGGTGAAGCCATGGGTGTGCAATGTTGCAATGCCCCGTACTAGGAGAAGGCGGCCGTCCAATCTTCCCAGGTTTTCACTGTCTCTCCAACTGATATCAGTCCACGATGAACACCAAGTCGAAGTCATCAACTCCCCACATACCTGCTAGATGCATCATATGGATATCTGTTCTTCTGGAAGATAGTTGTCAACCAGTTTTCCTCTCTACTTTACAGGGTTGCTGTTCTACGGTGCGTTTTGGCTCTTTTGAACAATGTTTTTATACGACTTGTCTTATTTGATTTGTGTTGGTATTATGGTTGAGGATTTGATTCTCATAAGTTGGCTTTCTGTGCACTCCTGTTCCCATTATCCCTGAAGCTGTTCTGGTGATCACAACATCTAAAATTGCAAGTTTTTTGTTTGATCCTCCTACAATTGTGAATTTGATATTGTCAAAAATGTTCCTGATTAATTTGCAAGCGTTTTTAATTCGCTTCTTGCAGTAGTGACAAGCGTGTCACTTACATAGCGGATCCAAATTTGTGGCTGATCAATGACAATACAGCAGTTTCCAATCTCAGCATTATCGCTTCTGCAATTAGTTCTGCTATGGGCGATCACAATGATGTTCGTCCCCTCCGCTTGCAGTTTGTCGTTGAACTGAAATGTGTTATGTGTCATAAATCAATTAGTTTCATCGGACTAGAACTTCACAACTGTATGTGTTGCGAGGGGTGTGTATCATCACTGAGGTGAAGATTCATTGTGTCCTCAGCCATTTTAGGATGTAGTAATCTTTTTCTTGGCCACTGAGGTGGGCCCTTTGACACCTGGGATTGTAACGACGATCTTTTTTCTCTCAGTTTCTGAACAGTTCCTGGCTGGTTAGTTGAGTTCTGTTCTGCACCCTCCTGGTCAAAGGTGCGATTACTTGTCATATTTCCTGTTGGGTCTCATGGTTTAGTTTCAGCGATGGCTCTAGTGAAGCAAAGAGCTTGACTTTGAAGCACCTCTCGCATAGCAAGTTGATCCCTTCCGAAGAAGTTCCCTGGATTTGGTCGGGGATTGTTTGAGAAAGTTGGCTACACAGTCATTGCTTTCTTCTACACTAAATGCTTGTGGTTTCGAAACCTTGGCAGCACTTTATCAAAGAATGCTCCTTCCATATTCTTTCTGTTGTCTGCTTGACTTATCGATCGCAGTTGTAAACGTTGTCCAGTGTTCCGTTGTGGGTATCATGTGCAGCTTTCTTTTCTGCACTTCTATCGCCTGCTGATATTTTCGAATCCTATTATAAGCACCGGTGATCATTAGCAGTGCCACATCGTTTCCCTTCCGCCGGACTACTGATGGGTTATCCGTGTCGGATACAAGTTTGTAGAACATATTTGAGGAGATACTTGTGTAGAAACAACAGTTGTCCTCTTGAGGGGGCCTGCCTCCCGAAGATGTTTTCCCGTTTCCGAACAGCGAGGAGCACTTAAGGCAGTAGACTGGCAATTATCCCTGAAAAATTCAAGGCTGTACACTAAGAATGTGGTTCATGTTACGCACACGGCCCAAGCTTCCTCGAACTGGAGTCTATGCTTGGGTGAGAATTCGAGCTTTTCAAACCTTTTAGACTTCCCAATTCGAGGAAGTGGTAGTTAGTAAATCTTGGGGGAATTTTCGGACAGTTCGACCGCAGAAGTTTTGACCACATTCTCAACACCTTCATACGGCCTCACCCACAGTACGGAACTGTAGTCTCCTACCCTCTCAACAGAAGGATAAATTAAGTCTAGAATGTACCTAGAGACGGTCGAGCGGATCCATCGGTGGACGTTGGTCTGAGGTGAACGAAGAACGACCGGTCACGCTTGATCTACATCCTCTGGAATACAGAAAACTAACAGCAGACCTGTCAATGGCTCACAACATCTTGAACATCTCTGGATACCCACTCTGTCACTTTTCGAATCTTAGTGGTAACACCAACCTCACAGGGGGTACAGAATCTAAGCCTAGGACATAGCAGGTTGGATATCAAGCGTAGCTCCCAATCTCTATAAGTTGTTAATCTCCCGACACGTTTCTTGCAGAAGTGGTCCGGGCTACTTCATATGAATCCTATAAATGTTGACTTAACACATAATTAAGATTTGGGTGGTAGCTTGCTCTAAATAAGCCTGGTTTTGATATTTAACCGCCAAAACCTCTGGAACTAGTGACTGGCAGATCCGAGACGCGGAAGTGAGCTAGATAAAAACATCTTTTTTTCCCTGTGGAAATCATTGGAACCATCTGAACCATTTTACGTATTTTGAAAATGCGCTTTAAGCTCTCGACTTATATTGCGCTCTATTCGAACCTTCTCTCAGTCGTGGTATTTAACGTCTCTCTACTACTGCGAGAACTTTGTCATTCACACATTTTGTTATGCAATTTCCACTAATGAGGACTATCTGAAACTTACTAAGAAGTTATTTTTCTAATTATAGTCATGAAAATTGACAGAAAAAAGATAATCAATAGGTGTGGTTATGATCAGAATGAATGCATGCTGCTCGCGAAACACCTATCAGCATGTCCAGACAATAAGCTGATATCAGAATTGAAGCGAATAAACGTTTGGAACTATGGAAAATGTGAACTTGGTCTCTGGGCTGATGTGTTGGACCGACTAGATGCGATTTTAGAGAATGCGGTTACGAAAACAGGAAAGTGGATGCTTCGTCTTGATGCTCCAGGAAACTCTACTCTTGTTGATGATGTGGTTACCATTTTGGAGTTCACAGGGCACTTGATCGAGCACAGTATATATCGCTACTTGTATGGTTCGTGGTCGCATATTCTTGCATTGTTTGGTTCTTCCAATCTCGACGTTCTTCTTGCTGTTCTCGGATTGTCCTACAACTTCAGGTAACTGTTATTCAGATTTTCTTATTGTATCAGCAAACGGAGCAATTACTTCATCAGACTAGATCCCAAAAACAAACAAATGATTCTTGACCGCCTAGTCTCTATTGCTGAGGTGAGTTTTAGTAGTCTTGGTAACTGTTTATTAGACTTGGGGCGGTGCTGAAAATGGATTTGGGCTTGCAGCCTGTTGTGATCCAAAGCATGTAAGCCTCGAATTTATCTTGTAATTTTTTTTAGTTCCCAGAAACTGCCGGAAATGTCTATTTTGAGTACAGACCAGAGCCCCCTGCTGGCAGTTCGTCGGCTCAGAATTCTGTAGGCTCAAACGAGAAGACATCACCTTCAAGCACTGGCGGAACTATTATTCTTCAGGCCCTTCATCGTAGGAATCAGTCACCATCTGAGATAATGGAGGAGTTACTGACGCAACACCAAGTGCCTGTATCTCAACAGATGGCTCTGTTCTCTCGAGTTCGGCTAGCAACCTACTTTGCTGAGCCAGCGCAACGACATAAGTGTATACGTGCCAGACTTCAAGCATTATCTATCTTGTGTAAGTCAGATTATTTTCGTAATAAGGCTCGGTTTGTTATGCCAGGAGCACCTAATTTGGTTCGTATCCAAGTACCCAACTATCTATGACTAAGAACATTGAAGAATGCTGTTTTTATACTTAAAAAATCCCATAATTTTATAAGTCTGTTGACATCAACAACTTAAACTTCCCGACTCGGTGTTCTAATGTTTCTTATCCAAGTTGAAGGTACGTGATAAAAGCGATATAGTAGAATAAAGTTGGAAATTCCTAAAACTGTTGTAGATACCCTAAAGCTATTACGATTGATGTCTAACCTTTGGTCTTTATCGTTCTAAGTATACCCACTCATAAGTTTATTCATATCCTAAAAGTAACAAATTTACAGGCGAATACCATATCTTAGCGTAGGTTCTCGTGTTTTCCAGCAATGAAGCCATAAAGATAGGTGGACGCCAATGCAAGCTAAGGTATTAACGGTTTGAATTGGATCCCTCATATTAGTTAAGGAACATATCAAGCAGGAAAATAAATGATTGTAATAATAAGATTTGGAATCCCTAATAGTTGACAGGTGTGGAGATCTTCTGCACTCAGCATGCGGAACAAGATACGGATTTTCAACACCAACGTCAAGTCAGTGCTCTTGTATGGTTCAGAGACTTGGCGCGTCACGAAAGGCATTCCCAATAAACTACAGACATTCATCAACAACTGCTTACGCTCGCTACTGGAGATCAGATGGCCAGAAAAAATAAGCAACAAGGAACTCTGGGAACGAACCAACCAAGAACCTATCACGCAACAAATATGCAGGAAGAAGTGGAGATGGATTGGCCATGCACTGAGAAGGCCGACTGAAGACATCACGCGTCAGGCCAGTTGCTCGAGTGGAATCCCCATGGGAAGCGACGAGTTGGGTGTCCAAGGTGAGGGTGACATGGAGGAGATCGTGTGAGGAGGAAATGAGAGCTTCTGGGCTGTCGTGGGACCAGGTTCAAAAGATCTCAGAGAACAGAGGTCACTGGAGACGTGCTACTGAAGCCCTATGTTCCACTAGGAACCCAAGGGACTAATAATAAAAAATAATAATAATAGTTGACAGATGGAAAGCATGTTTGCAGTTCACAGGGTACGATTTACAGCTTTTTGATTATATAAGACCAAAGAAATAATGCGCTTTGATCATTGTATTTTTTACCCAGTAGGTTGACGTACTTAGTCCATAGGAATCTGCAGCCAAACTTCGGTCCCATTAAGTTGATGGCGTTACCTATTGAGTGCTAAATATTTAGTTTTTCATAAGCTTATGAAGATAATGGGGTACTGTGTCACTGGAAATTCCTATTCGTGTAGCTCATTTGAAAACTTTGGCGTGGCACAGAAAACAAGGAAGCTAAATCTCGTTTGGATAAGTATTTATGGAAATGTTCTAAATCTGTGATGGAATATCCACATTCGATGCTTGTCATAACGAAGACTGAGACTTCTTTTTCGGCTTTATTACTTAATGATTCTCAGCATATTTTACTGTCATGATTATTCTTATATGAATTAAACTTGATGCATTCTATTTTTTCAAAGCATACACTTTTGAAGTCGATGAACGACATTTATATCCCAGCCTGCTGGACGAACTTGTAGAAGTACTTGGTTTGCCAGATGATCAATATATGGGGATCAAAGCATGTGCTCTCCGAACAATGACTGCTATAGTTAATTCTCATCGATTGGGTATAAAGTAAGTTAAATAACCACTGCCTCAAGAACTGCTTTGTTTATTCGCCTAGTGAAATAACATATGCACCTGTAATGCGCATTCTCTCTTAGGATAAGCGGGTATGGTTTTTCATCTGACTCCACTTGTAAGAACATGGAGTCACTTACAAGGTAAATTGGGTATGAAATCCGGTAAATTATAAGGTTGTGGCTCGCGTGTTTAGGCATTTAACTTTCAATCAAGCCAGAACTCTATAAAACCTACGGAAGTTTAGTTGACCAGGTGGTATTAGTGCTTGCATAAGAAGTTTGTCTGCCTGCCGATTGCAGACTCGCTCGATTTATATTGAGCACCGCGTGAGATCTTTAGATGCAAACGTTCAAACCTTCAGATAAGTTGTTCCAAACAAATAAAGAAGTTAAGTGCATTTAAAGGTGTAGTTCATCTGCAGGAGAGTTTGGATAAGGGAAAACGATTGACGACTGTAAATAAACCGAGAAAGCAAACCACAGAGTGCTAGCCACAAGTCTGGTCCCAGTCCTAGAAATAGCTCAAAGTACTTGCTGGTTAGTTCTTCTTTGAAAGAATTGAATTTTTCTACTTAGAATTTGATAAAGTAGTGAGATTCCATAATGATGTGAGCCTATCGTATGAAACCTATCAGTTTTTCTCGCTATCGGTTTCACACCCACAAATAAGTATCAGCATGAATTGCTGTTATTATCATGATAAGCATGTGTAAGCTTCAGATGCTTGGGTTTAGTTGTAATTGCATGCTGGTTCAAGTTGCCACGTTTTATGTCAGTCTAATAAGGAAAGGCGAGCAAAATCAAGGGAGAACCTCGCACTTAATTTGCCACACTTCACAGAAGCATGCAAAGAAAAGTGGTTAGAAAAAGACTGATGTCAAAGTATAAAAAGGTGTTTGAGAGGAGAAAGAATTTTAAAATGAAGTACTCATGCTTCGGAAGATGTCAAATAGTGAACACAAAGTACGGCAATCCTCCATCGGTCCTCTTCAAGTATAGCTGTCAGCAATCTGATCTATTTGTGTCCATCATCTGTTTAATGTCGGTGAACGCCATGTGAGATAGTGTCTCTCTGTATGCTTGAGGTTAACGCTGACCACAAACAAGTGATTGTCAGAATAGAATTGCAGTAGACGATTACCGTTGTAGGTTCGTCGGCATGGGATTTGGTAGATGCTGCTCAGATATCTTTCCGATTGGCTCAGATTTCTTACTTAAGCATCCAAGTCGCCTGCTGTTATGCCTATTTCTGAACGCTTTGCTTTCTATAGCAAAATTGACAGCTTTTGTTGGAATTTATCCTTTTCATCATTCGAACGGCAGTAGTTGAGTGCGTCGTTGGGGATTACATATAGGGATTGGCGAGTCTCACCCTTCACAGTTCTTATGAATCTATTCAATCAGATGGCTGTCGAATGGTATCCAGTTGGGGTATGCACTTTCTTTCCGAGTACTTAGTGTTATGCTTGCACGAATGAGTCCACGAGAGCTAGCCATTGAGTCCCCATATATTGATAAGGTATATTTTAAAGATTCACTGCAATGGCTAGGTGAGGTCAAGTGGGTAACCAGACTTGGGTCCTGTATACGTGTCCCAGAGACAGCATACATACATAGCTAGAGATTGCAGAATTTTGGCGAGCGATGCCTGCTGTCTGAGTTGGCATAAGGTTCGGGATTTGAAAGGTGCAATATGAAGTCGACGACAGGGTCATAAGAAACTAGAAGTAGTGTTTTATCTGCAATAGGCTAAGGAAGTAGTTAGAGGCATAGTATTGGTGTCAAGAGGTGAAGACAAAAGACGTAACAGGTAAGAAGAATGGGTTATGCTTAATGACTGGGTCTTGTATACTGCTGGAAGCGTGAGAGTGGTCGACGCTTCCCCTTTGCTTTTTCAGGTTGCCTCGAAGAGGAAAAGGAGAACTTTTGTGTGACTGCAGAATTCATGGGACATCTGCTTGAGACCTGTCACACAGCATGTTTCAGATTGTTGGTATACGATTTGATTGTTCTAATACCGGGTAGAAAAAGCCCATACTGCCGGCACTGGAAGACCATGTGGCAGGGAGCAGTGGTATTTTTGGGGCGGACCTTTTCTAACCTTCCGTTCCCTACTAAGGAGACAGCACCAGCATGGTACTGCTTGTCTTCCACTGAAAATACCTTCCTGCTATTTCGCCTCATCCAGCTAGCAGCGGGACTTTGCCCTCGAACTACCATCATAGCGTAGCAATTTATACTATAGCGGTAACTGCTTTTCATCTTACCACTATTTGAACAGACCTTTCTGGCGTGGTAGGACCTCAAATAAAAAGCGATCCACCCAGTATATACCTCGTTGAGTAATTTGGATGTGCAATCCCGACCATGACGTGAAGGTAGCAGCAACCAGTTGACAAGCAGTAGTAGAAACAAGGATGTAAAAGTAGAATTGCCACTTATAAAGAAAGGTAATGGGAAAAACACATTGGGGTAAGAAGTACAGCTGTAAAGTTAGATGTCTAAGGTTGGAAAAATAAAGTATGAATGCTTCTGGATTACTGTGATGGGTTCCTAGTCATATTGTCTTGTGTTGAAACAATTTTCCCAGGTTGTATGTATCTGAGTTAATTGAGTGAAATAACGTCGGATGCAGGAGGCTACTCCACTGACCAAAGTTATCTAACGTTTGAACAGCACAACAATCAATTCTTGTTTTTTGTATTATTCTTTCCGTTTGTTACTAGTTGGGGTTCACTGGTCGGGTCTACTGGACTATCCAGTTATCATGGTGTTTTGCCTAATCTGACCAGAAAGTGGATCCAAGGCCTTGTAGATGGTTCGATTAAAGCTCCAGCCGGAAGCACAAATCAGCATTTCACAACTGCTTTACTGTCTTTCTTATACCATCTAGCTTGTTATGAAGAAAACGTTGGTCCAGGTAAGTGAATTCGTTATATTCTCTGTTATTTGGATTTTAGGTATTACACAGAGCACAACGCTTAGTTCTAGCGGTATTCTGGACACTATGATGCAGCTTATTTCCTGGCACACACCACACAATGATTACTTGAGTTATGTCACAAGGGCAGTTCGTGTGACTGATCAAATCCTTATGAGTATTTCATCAAGTCGTCAACATGTCGTCAGTATTTTGGTTGATCGGTTAGACTACGAGGTTGAAGTGGTTCTTCAGGGTGATGTAAGTACTTCGCATACGTTCATTTTTATTTTGGATTTGGAGTTTCGTGGGGATTTATTAATTTCAGGTTGGTATCCATCATGAACTGACACTGGTTGGAGAAACATTGTAAACCTGGGAGCACTGGACAGCTGTTTTTTCCCAGTGTGGGACTTCGAAAGTGCGCACCTACGACCCTGCCAGAGCTACATGAAATGTTTATAATTTTCGAGTATGTACTTTCACGCCCATTTTCAAGTGGGATGGTATTAGAAGTGCTTCTAGAGACAATTCTGACCCAATAATTCTGCTTAGAATGTAGTAGTAGTATAGTGGGCGTTGCTGATAACAACGGATATAAGTAGTATATATCGAGAGGGTCGCAGGAATCCTAGAGAATTACCGGCAGTGGGTAAGGTTTCTGCCAAGAGCAACGCAGGGGACAACATAGGCGTATTACAGGGGATGTTGCTGATAAGTGTATGAAGAGCCAGTCAAGAGCAAATCGAGACAGGAACGGAGAGGAAACAAAGACGTTTGCAAATGGCTGCGTTAGTGCAAGGAGTACTATATGTAACCACTACCATTCCAATTGTTCGTAATAAACATTCTCTCGTCGAGTTGTCTTCTGTTTCTTCAGTAGTAGTAGTGAGTTGTTGGTAGAACTTTTGACGAGTGGATAATGGGACAGGTCAGTAAGTAAGTAGTGTAGAGATAAGTCTTCGACGATAGTAGGTATGTTCAATCAACCGGGTAAGATAAAGGTTGGAAATAATTCCACTAATTGGCTTCAAGTTGCACCACTAAACCTGACAGCTGAGAATAATTGAAGTTCTATGGGTCCTTTAGCAATGTGTTTTGTGTGGGAGTATCACTAGTTAAAAGATTTCTATGTTAGATGCATAATTTTAGGTAGGGATTGGGTAGGATAAGCTAAAATAGCTTTGATGATTCATTGGTTGAGACATAAACTTAGCGTGTCTAGTCACTGAGTTGAACAAAGGTACAATAAAGTGAAGCCTATAAAAAACCAAATAGCAATACCACATTCTCATAGATACATTTACCCAATAGGGTCATTAAGCTTGAAAATTCCCAAACGACGTGATACTGGATATTTGTTTAACTGATGTCCGTAGTCTTTGTCTAAGCTTCTAATACATTACTAAATATTTGTTTTCTAATATCTCAGTTGTTCCCATTTCACCTGTAAAACTTCATACCTTTTCACGAAATTGCTGCTGAAAAGCTTAACAATTTAAACTTGCTGAACTATTGTTCTGGGGTTCTTCGCCCACGCCTATCCTACGTTACTTTTTGATAACTACTCGTTCGACGACTACACTAAATGGTAGTTTTATTTTCCAGTAGTTATTGATCATGTAGTGCCTAATGTGAGTAACAGTACGCATATGTTGTGCTTGATCAGATTTTCAAGTTATTTTCTCGTCGGCTGAATTTTACATTCACAATATCTCATTGTTTTGTTCATCAACATCCTCCCGTCATTCCTTTATTGAAGCATCTTTATTAATTAATAACTAATGTATACTACTGTTTTATGCACTGTCACACTTTCGATTTGAAGACTCAACTTCTTTTTATTCATGAAGCTTTAAACAGTCAAGATTTTTGAACTTGTAACTGTCCAAAGATTTCTTGGTATATCTAATAAGATGCAAGTCCTTGTCTTTTGTTGAAATACAGGATTCTTTCTTCGATAACAAAACTCATCCCATTTATTAGCATATGCTTATTAACTGATAGAAGTATTCTGTTAGTTATAACAACTAGGTAAACAGTATATCATATACCTCATTGATACACATCTATGTACTCTTCCCAGTGTTCAGTTATCTTTTCACTTCCCAAAACATTTCAGCCTAGTCTGTCTTAAACTGATCGTTTGTGTTTTGGTAATCTGTATTTATCCAGCAGAAGTTAAACGTTCCTGATGTTGAACAAACCTTGAATACACAGCGCTCTGGACTCATGAAATCGATTCTCAATCTTCTCAAACGTCTTTGTTTGGATGCAGAATGGGGGGAGGTATTGCACTCAGTTATGGATGAGAACTTACCGTCGGTTCTGCGTCGAATTTTCCTCAATAGTTCCAGTCATTTCACTCCACATCTGTCACTTTTTGCTATGGAAACAATTACCAACTATCTGTACACATACCCATCTCGCATTTCAGCCATGCAGGTAGGTGACACTATTTGTCACAGCTTACTTGTTTTTCAGGTTTTGCTGATAAGGTCATTTATTTAAATCTGGTTCAGATACATTTTCTATTGATTTTGGTTCTAACTCTTCAGAATCATTAGAGGATAAAGTGACTTAGTTTCTTAAACCTATTTTCCAGAGAATCACTATTAATAAATCCCTAAAATTGAATTTCATTTCATGGCTATTTGCTCCTTTGGGGATATTATTTATCAGCTTAAGCGTATCACTGTCAAGCAGTGGGATCTTGGTTCTGATCCCATTCCACTTATATTGACCTTGACAATCGGATAGTATAATAAACCGTCAGACAATAAGCGTGGCTCATTGTATTACATTTTCTATTTATCCTCCGTTAAGGACTAGATTGCGCTTTTGAATACTATCCCTTTTTTCAGATTCAGTGTTTCTTTTCTTGAAGAATACACTTTCATATCATTCAAGTTTACATGTAGGGACTACATTTAAGACTCACTGTAGGTATTTAATACATAACTCATCGTTGTAAAAGGTTTTTTTCTGTTAAGTAGTTTTAAAATAATTCAGAATATTAACTTCAGTCGAAGTGCTACATTGCGTTGAACACGTAGAGATTAATGTTTCAAACTATCTTTTAGGTGTAGTAGTAGTCTGCCATTTAAACCAACGTGACTGGACTTAATATGCCTCCCGTTTTGTAAAGATTGAGTTTTCAAGTCTCATGTTTAGAAATAGAATCTAAAACACTTAGGGTAGTGAGCTTTATAGACCTATGCAGCGGGGAGTCAACTATATTACGTGATGATCCGTATATAACACGCCATCTGCTATCTCTTTACTCACCGTTTTCTCAGTATGTTGTTTAGATAGAACAGTTAATTTGTTACGCGAAGAGTCATTTTAAGTGTTCCACAAAAAATACCTGGTAGCATCTCCCTTAAATCTTCACGATATCCAGAAAGTACAGAAACGAAAATAAAATGTAGTAATGAAGCGAATCGCACTCAGCAGCCGTCTGTAGATTCGTGCAGTAGACAATGAGCCTCACCTATTGTGTGAGGGCTAGTAATACTACCTTGCTGTCCTAACCTCTGTAGGTGGGGCGGGATTCAAGCCCGTAACCCACTGGTCGATAGTCATCTCTCTAAACCACTGAGCCACAAATCCATACGGAAAATGTAAATAGAAAGATAAGCATGAGCATACACTTTTCGGCCGTAAAAACTGTCTCCAGCACATTGAAATGAGTATTTCTGCGTACGGCTCGGAAACATGTTGCTGCAATTATACAACCAACAGTTAGTGTTGGTCGCTTATTTGGATACTATTTTATACTGTCCAATATAAAAGGGAGTTCAGTGCTTCTCACTTGTCGGAAGAGTTTCAAATTTTTCGACATAATATACGCTACTGTCAAGCTGAAGTTCATCTCAAAATTATCATTAATTTATGTATAGAAAAATTTATTTGGTTTCTGATCATGTTTTTTGTTAAAATACACATATTTCCTTGCCTAGATAGACATTGTTTCTTAAAGTCCGCGTCGCGTAGGGGTGATTATAAGGGTTACCTAGAAAAAGTTAGCCAACTGGTAGTCAGTTTACAATGGGAAATAATCACATGGTAGTTAAGAGAAACAATCTACTGTGACTAGTAATAGAGGTTAGTTCCCCTTTTGTAAACGTCACCACAGCCGCAGCAACTTTTTTGTTTAGGAAATTTGTATAGACGTTTTGATATTACTAAGCTGAATGAAGCAGCTGAGTACTTACAAAGAACCTCCAAAATTAATCGAAAAACAACTATAAAATAGAGAATACGAGAGAGGCTAATCAGTTGTGTAATTATATTTACTAGTCTGTGAGATGAAATTTAAACTAGTCACTAAGGAAATTATTACTAAGACCATGTTCATTTCTGTTAGATCAGCTTTTATCATGACTTCTCAACCTTTCATAACCATAGTTTTGAAGTGACGTTTCGTTTCATATTACTGCATATCCGGTAAAATTCAGAAAGATCTAGACTTTACATAATTCAGTGGCCAACGTGATTATCATGCATCTATTACTAGAATATAAAAGCACTAACATTCTCGTCTTTCCTTGAAACAATTTTCTCTAAAGTAGTAGTACTACTTAATCCATATTAGATTAGTCTATTTTATGTAGCACACAGTGGTTTATCAAGTAGACTGATCTGATGTTGAGTTATATTCTACCACAGGGCCTAGATTATATTCTTACATTAATACATCTTCATCTTATTGACTGAATTGTTTCCTGACAGTCACTTTAAACAAAAGTCGGGTAAGGGTTCTGTTAGTCTAGAGTACCTGTCTGATTCCTTAGCCGATTAAAAAAGATTATCTTAGAGGTGTTCCTTGAGCGATCACTATTCTTTTAAATCAACCTGTTTTCTAATTCTCACAAGTTTTTGTCTCAGGTTATTTCCCGGAAAACATTCTTTTAAGTAGTAGTATTTATCAGAATAAATCATTGGTGTAAAGATAGGACCAGCATCGTGAAATGATGTGAATGGTGTCGTCGCTTCAGTAAATAAAAATAATTGGCAATTTACAGTCAGATATGGATATTTTCACTTCATTAGTGTGTTTTCTTATTACATTTGTCTTTAATAAAAAGCCGTTTACCTTTTTTCGGAGTATTTTAGAACTTAGACTAGCATTTAGCACATACTACACTGTATTTAGTAAACAAACCGTCCCCCTAAACAAATCAAATTTATTACATCGTTATGGAACCAATCTTCTCCATCGGGAGTACACCTTGTGATGATAATGAGTTCACTACCAAATCACATTACTGTTGTCGTACAGTATGTAGTATGTATGATTTAGTGGTGGAAATTTACAGCATTGTCTATGTTGTTAATAATGCGCTAAACCGAACGGATTTCTTTTTGTCGATTTCTTAGAATTTATATAGTAAACTGGTCATTGCAAATATTTCAATTTGATCTATCAATCAGAGTAGATTAACTCATGGCGTATTCCTAGATGTACATCTGAGTTGTAACAGCATGTGTTCTTCTTGTCGAACAAGTGCACATCTCTATGTTTATATATGAATTTTGCGAACTATTTGGGCGACAGCAGTAGTTGCAACGGCAGAAACAGTAATAGAAGTATAACTGGGAAAGCCTTAGCCTTCTCTTCAAGAAAATACATAATCTATATTGATTTTAAATAGAATCTCATGAAGCTAAATAACTTGAATCATTTTGTTTTGTTGTTCTGCTTATTTTATCGCTTTTCTCATGTCTCACAGGTATATGCACACGATGCGTGTTAGCTGTTTGCTTATATCACATGACAAATGTGGTATTCATTGAGTTATTAATAAGTAATCTTATTATTGTATGAGTACTACTACTTTTGGTGTGCATCTCTGTTCGTCTTTCATCACCACCTACCTATGCTGACTGATTAGTTGTAATTGGTGTGCATGTGGAAATGGACGCTTATCTTGTGTTGTGAATCGATTTTATAACTTATCATGTTTATAGACTTCTCCAGATACCTGTGTTTCATAGACTGGCGGTTGAGGGGTGGTAATTAAAGTTAAAACGGAAAACCTGCCCACCGGCAGGATTAGAATCAGCGACTTGCCGTCACCCAAATTTTCACTCCGACTTCAACAAACGCCGCCTACGTTACAGTGTCTTACGACCTAGTTGGAAGCATTAACTTTAGCATGTATGCAGTCCAGTTAATATAATTGTGGTATCAGTTTTTCTCCTGATTCCACATCAATCAAACCATATTTGTTATCGGATAGCGCTAAAATATTTTACTATTCTCGTGGTTATAACCAGTGTTTATCATATGTAATGTATTCATGGTGCCTGTTATTAATGCATCTGAAGACTTCTAATATAATTCCAGCTGGAATTTTTTCAAGGTGTAATATATGTATCTGAAATATCTGTGAAAGTATATTGCTGTTAATACAAGTTGGTTCAAAACTTTTTTACAGGATAAAAATATTACAACAGATATTTTGAAGGCTTTAACTGAACAACCATTACCTCAAAACCGTGACTTTCTTGTACAACTACCAGCTTTGCTGAATACTTTGGCTCTAAATTCTCGAGGTATTGAAGCTATTCTGTCAAGTGGTGTAATTGGGCGGTATCTGAACACTTTGGTTTCACCAGAATATCTTTCAACCATGAAAACGAAACGTGTTCGTGATTTTATGTCACAAATTCCGTATGATATGCACTGCAACTCAGGTCAAAATTTATCTAACAGTCTCACAGCCAGTCAGATGAGTAATGCTGTCCACGAACTACTTCGGTCGCATGCGGAGCTCAAACCTGTTGTTTCTAAATATGCCATCTCTGTGAGTTGTAGTTTGAACAGTTCACTGATACGTTTGTGTGCTATAAATTAATGAATCAGTCAACATCAATGTCTTATTCTCCTGATCTTTTTCTTATCTTTAAGCTCTCAGTTTCGTCTCAGTATCATAGCATGCGGTTATTCAGTTTTGTAAGGAGGAAAAACTTTCATCACTAGTCGTCCTATCTTGTAGCAGGCATTGTTAACCGAATGTCAGTTATATTTAGCCATGTGCATAAGTCATTACTGTCATACTCCCATTTCACATACTTTGCCTAGGATGAATAAAATCAAAGGGTAAAAGGTCGGTATCAGAAGCTTCCTATATGAATATCATTACTAGCTTACACTTTAATGCTCTCCTAATAGATTCACCCTTTGACTATATGTGACAGAGCGACGAAAAACTATACACAGGAGTGATCCAACCCTCAATGTCCTCAAATTTTTACAAATTAGTATAGATTTTGCATCATATGTTATGGATTTATTTTATTGTTAATCTCCTTACTCAAGGGAATTAATTGTCTTGATTGATGAGGCTTATTCGATCGTTGAAATAAGCGCATTTTGTCAGGGAAGCTCGAAATCCATAAGCAGTCCTTTTAAGATCTCCAGTTTCTCCCCTTAGAAGAAAATAGAAGCAGTCACTTTACTCTAAAGTTAATCAGTTCTTACATGTGACACTTTAATATCAGGGATCTGGATGGCTTTGTCAGTCTTATACTAGATTGTCGTATATATAAAAACTCTGTACAGTTATACAGCCAGATAAATCAGTCGGTGAGCATACTTACTGTTTTTCTTCTGTTTCATCTGTTCTACCTAGGAAAATGATGTAGAAAAATGTGTATTTCCTTCCCCATTCCTAAACTCTAGATAAATAATCCACAGCAATATGACTGAGAGAAAACTTCCAACCTTTTAAACTCTGATGCAAAGTTCTATGTTATTCGTTCCACGAACTAGCAGATCGATGAGGAAATGAATCAGTTCAACTTGCCAAACTTTGCAGCAGTATGCAAAGAAGAAATAGATAGAAAAAGAGGGACAAAAAGGTAGTCAAAAATGAATGGGAGATGAATGACAATAAATTACGGAAGATTACTGAGTGTTCAAGAATTCGAAGATGACAAAAACTGCATACATGTGCCACGGTAACCGATTGTGCGCAACATCAATCGTAGTCTCCGACCAGCAATTCATAACATCTTTAGAATCCCAGCCCGTACTTGCGTGCATCACTCCGACTAACAACCATAAACGCTATAAACTGGTGTCTTGTCTTAATTTATCTGTCTTAGCCTTCTTTCAACCCAGTCTTACTTAAGCTAACATCGGTTGTTGAGGCCGTTAATCTTACATCATTCAAAACACATTTTCAAACCACACCTCAGTTAGTGAAGGTTTATAACTTCATAGGTTGACACACCATCTTCGTCTGGTACTCTGAACCTAACTTTAAGATTGCTCACATAGTCATTCTTCTTAGTGTCACCGCGTCTGCAACTTAGACGTCAGGTGTAGATTTTTAGACAGAGAAAGAAAGTCGTTTAATGAGGTTATGAACCTTCATCAACCCAGGTGACTGAGACATATGTTCCGCATGCCTAGTCACGGTTCGCCTCATCCCAGAATGTTGAACGGAGTGGATTCAGACCGAAACAAGGTTAGAAGTGACTAGACTAAAACGTAGCATCAGTCCATGAAGTCCTTTGACTAATGGTGTTAGTCGTGTAAAAAAATATAGACTTCCGGCTTGCAATCCGTGTGACAACAGAAACCAGTGGTTAGAGACTGTGAGAACATGGGTGAAAATCGACCTCAGGGGCACAGATGTATCCACACATTCTCTCCACCTTAGTCGTCATACTGAATTCGGTATTTTCCTATTCCTCTCTCTTTTACTACTTTTGACCTCTTTCTTCTTTGCTTCTTTATCCCTCATCTTATTGCTTCCTCGCTTGATGTGGTGGTATGAGGTGTGGCAACTTGAACCGTTATGTTGTAATGCTTGATCCCACTTTAATACTGTCTGTTATGGTAATTCTACCACGCACGAAAGACTTAGAAAGACCAAGGTAGGACCTCATAGAATTGTATCGGTCCAAGCTACCACAGCTCACAGCAGCATGCAAAGAATAAGTAGGTAGAAGGAAAATGATATCGAAGTGCATACGTTTATGGGGGAAGGAAGAATTTGAAGATGAAGGTTAGTAAAAAATTTCATGCCTGCACCAATGCGACAAATTTTCGACCATTTCACCAAGACTCTTCAGCACCGAATTCTATCGTCTGGGGGGACCTTAACCAGGCAATCTACGTCTCTATGCATAACATGGCTCAGTCCAGCAGTCATAAACTTTGCACACTGGTGCCACATCTTGATGTGACCACCTTGAGCCTTCTTTCAACCTGGTGCAATTTACCCTAACATTACCCGTCCAGATAGGTGGTGGCTTGGCATGCGTAACACGGTATCCAAGCCACCTCACTCAGTGTAGGTTCACAACCCCACTGATTGACTTTTCTTCCTCACCTAGTATTCTTTGGATAACTTTGACATTGTTAAGATGGTGATTCCATCATACGTGAGCGAGACTACAAAGACATCTGTGTTCGAAACCGTTTGATCTCTTCATGTCTTCATTTTTCGATGGCAATGTTTCACAAGCGTATAACAGGATAGAACGGACTGCAGCGCAGTATAGTCGTCCTTTAACAGATGATGCGAGCCTCAAATATGGAACAGTCTCTGTATCTGAGTTGAGATTACGTCAACAACCAACCGGTTCGGGTTCAGACAACTTCCCAAGTGAGTAAAGTGGTCAACGGATCCCACCAGTTCTCTTCCTATCATTAAACTGAAAGTACTTGCAGAGCAATCCTGAAACATCATCTTACACTTGACGGGTGCCAAATACATACCAAACAGACAGATTTTCGCTGAGGTGTTCAGAATACTTTGCATTTTGTCAACATCACCTAACGGGATAATGTCATCTGCGTATTCCAAGTCAAAGAGTTCTCTTCAGGTAGTAGATCAGTTTCTGTGGAGTCAGAAATGCCTAAGCAGGAAGGTTGATGACAGGGCATCTCTTACCGACGCCATTGGTTTTCATGAATTCAGATGACAACTTTCCATAATCCGTTGCGTGACTGCATGAGTTCGAGTAGAGGGCTTTTATAAGCATCATATACTTGCTCGCCACTTCCTTCACACACACTGCCACAACACCTCACGGTCTACAGTCAAATGCCGCCTTCGGCACAAAAATATGGTAAGTATCGGCTATTGGTTGGTAAGTTTACCTGTGTTCCAGAACCTGTCGGAGGGAGAAAATATGATCAATTCACCCTCGTCCAGCTCAGTCTGAAACTTGTCTGGTTTTCTGGAGTTCGCTTTTCTCAAGCTCCAGTTGGTTGTCGGATAACTATGGATTCTGGGGTCTTGACCACGCTCTTAATTAGACTGATTCCTCTATGATTGTTACAAGACGATTTGTCTTCTTTTTCGTAGACAGGAATGATCAATGAAGTAGATTAGTGTGATGGAACTGCCTCTGATTCCCATACGTTTCCCAATACCTAGGTGTATTTTAATCAGTTTCTTACCTCCACCATTGAAAACGGGTGAAAAACCACCAGACTCTGGGAATTTACACTGTTGCGAGTTTGAAACGTCTTAGTGCATGAGAATCATACAGCGATTGTAACCGCAATACACCGTTTTTCCTGTACGGTTTTTCTGGCTTCACAGTTTTCTGTCCTCACTACACATATTTCCTGTTCACTTGTTTGCTTTTATCAGTGCATGAGACTTATCTGTATCTGTATCTGACCATTATGTCACTTATATAGTTTTCTTGATCAGTCTTGACGAAAATCTTTTTCCAGTATCATACAGTGTAGAATTGCAAGTAGTCTAACTAGTTTATAATGTTTCATGTTCCCACTCCCTGTAGTCTCCGTACAAAACTTCATTAGTCGAACGCATTTTACTAAATAAGGATACAATAAATTAAACATAGTATTACATTCTTTTTTCTTAGTGTTTACGTCATGTTGTGGCTCTTGGGAAGACACCAGCGACGCTAGTATCAGAAAACGCGTCATTTAACTCTAGTTATTCCGAAATGTCAGCTTCTACTCGAAATGCTGACGGTTCCAGCATACTTACGTCGGTAGATATCAGCGAAACAGCTCGTGGTATGCAAAGATCGTCAGCGAGTACCAGCCAGTCAATTGCAGAAGCACCATTGAGTATGAGTAATATCCAGCATTCTGTTAATGTCACTGAAGAGGATGTGGTAATGTTATCTGGTGGTGAGGATGAAGAGGATGACTATAACAGTGATATTGACGGTAACCAAGATAGACAAACAAATACACGTTCTGCAAATGTCCAAGTTGAAACTATTGTTTCTAGAGACGCAATACCTATAACTAGCATGGAACCATCTGCTGAATGCAGAAGATTGTCAGTCACAGAAGATACTTCTAGCGCTGTTTCTTCAGAGGCTCCTTCAGTTCCTCCTAATTTATTTCTGTTGGACTTCATGTTGAATATGGTAAGTCATGACTATTATTGTAGATGTATTTACTGGAAAAATCCTCCCATTATTTATTGTAAGATACGTCTGGTCACCTTCCTTTTCTGTAATACTTTAGAAATATGTGTATTCTGTAATATCAGTTTGCACTTTGTTTTAAAATTTCCCCTGTAGAAAAAAATTACCTTTACACATACAGCAGCCTTGGAAACTACTTGTGTGCATACCATAGCTTAAATTTAAATTGTATGCTGTAAAGTAGTCAAATAAATCACCTCAAAAGTCTATAAACATATCTTGAACCATTTACTTCAGACATCATGGCTCCCTTGAGTTTGAACAGTGCAACAGCAAAGACTATTGAATAACAGGATGAGCTCATTTTATTTCATGACCTTTCATCAGCTGCAAACAGCCTATAATCGAACATTTTACCCAAAAAGAGACTGGTCAATCGTTATTTACCCTGAAAACTTTATATGATTTTTTTCAAATGTATGTATGTAGTCTTCATTTTTTTCGATTGCGTCATCTCTTCATCAATTACTTACTGACTGTCTTGGTTGCATTGTGTTCTCTGATCTGCTTCTTTTAATCATGGAGCTTTCATCATCCTTCTAGACGACGTCAGCACTAACTTCAGTATGAAGTGAGCTGACTGGTAATCACTCGACCAGACGTTTTCCCAGTTTTTCCATGCGATTCCGTAACCTACTAGCTCTTTAATAAACCCTTTTTTATACTCTTATTTGTTTGTTGTTCCGCCCCCTTTCCACAGCTCCAGGATTTTTCCCCCTTTTAGATATAAGTTACCATCGGTCTTGACTAAGGTTTGTAATTATTAATCCTATTTCCCTTGACTCATTATCCGATTATTAATCCTAGATTTCAAATCACTTATTTCTCTATGTTGTGTCATTATTACTACTAGTACTTAGTTTCAGTTGTCGGTCGTTTGGAACTGATGAAAGGTCATGAAATGAAATGAGCTCATTTTAATTCAGCAAATGTCTTTGTCCTCGCATTGTTTGAATTTGTCAAGGGAACTAGTGTATGGTATTCCTTGAATTTGTTACGATGCGTTTCGTTATTTCGTACAAATGTGAAATTTCTCTTTTCTGATACAATACACAGTGGAATAGTGATAATGTTAGTGGTAATAATAATGATATTGGATGTTAGGGAGACTTGTACAATATTTATTTCGAAAGGTTCATGATACCAATACTTCAGTTGTAAAAGACATTAACCTAATGATCTGCTAGTTCAAATCTTGATCCCTATACCCCGTTTCATACAACTGAGTAGAATCAATCACACATAGTCGGTATGTTTCAACCTAGTACACAAGTTTTTATATAATCGTTTAACTTCATTCAGGAAAAATTAGTTTTTAATAAGACTTGAACGCTCATCGCACTTAATTATTCTTTGAGGCGGATTGTTTTGAGGTTATCCATGATGTTAGTAAGCCATTATCTAATGAATTCGTTTGTGGTTTCATGAAGCAACATTATTAGAGGTTAACAAAGAAGAACTGGTTAGCATTCACCACTGAACTGTTAAAGGTTTAACAGAGAGTGGATACTTTTTGACTATTCAGTGACTATGGTAATTTACTTGGTTGTGGCTAGCAGAAGATTCCAATCCAACGGGGAATTATACGCATATCCATAAGTAGTAATAACTTATGCCCGTTATACAAGAGGTGGCTATCGTGCCTCCGTGGCCTGGTGGATAATGCCTTGGCGTTTGAAGCGATGGGTACGAGGTTCGAGTTCCAGTGGGAACAACATCACTCACTGGGGTGCAGATACATCCAGCCGAGGAGTCCCAAATAGGGCGAAATGCACATCCCAGATTCTTCTGCTAGCCACAACCAAGTAAATTATCACACTTAAAAACCAGGCAACATCGAGGCATCCGCATAGGAGCCCATATGTCGATAGAGGTCGAACACTTCGATCCAGTAAAACAACGGAGAATTACAAGCATATCCATAAATAGTAAGTATTAGTGACTATTACTGAATGTTCACCAACTCATGAATTCTTCCATTTCAAGCACCTCGTACCATGAGTTTACATATGCCACTAGTCATTAAACAAACATCTGTAAGAGTAGGTTGAGAGACATTGAGAAGGTAAAAACTAAGAGCGGAGTGAATATTATTCATAGTGGGATAACTTTCATTCTTTTCTTAAACTCTTAGCCGTCGTCATCGCTCACTTGGTGATTCAAGCAAAATGTCATCAGAACTTGTAAGTTTTAGGCCTTAGATGGTGGCGGCTGTGTCTAGCATACGTAAAATGAAAAGTAACTTTTGTACATTTTACCATGGTAACGATGTGAACAAACGAAATGTTATTTTTGTGTTCAGAAACTGTCTTTTAAGGCTTGTACTCTTTGTACCGCCTGTCGAGTGAAAGTAAATGTCTTAGTCCAGTTCACGGTTATGTTCTTTTTAAGAGAGCTCCTGCAAACTTCACTTATGATTTGAAAGCGACTTAAAAAGTTCGTTGTTAGCACTCTCTTTAATGCATGCTTGAATGGCAACGTATCCTGTAGGTTCAGCATGGATACAGGAAACACCAGCCTATCGATTTCTGTCACTTTCTCCCAGCGATACACAATGAGTAGTGCATTGTTGGACAGAATAATTTATTTCAGTTACCATATTGCATTCTGATCGAAAAATGGTGCCTAGAAATGGGAATTAAAGCCTTACATCAGCTACCAAATAAAAACTGGATCCTGTTTACTGAACCTGCTGGATGTTTCTCTTTGACCCAGATTTATGCTTGACAATTTAGCTGGGGGTTGAAATGGTAATTACTGATTAGACTCCACTTGATGGTCATTTGTATACTGTTCAGTTAAGTTACTCTATAAGAAGACGGGACAATTAGAAACGGGAGTCGTTATATATTTGTGCGTAATATTATTTGGTTTCTGCGCCAAATGCAACGTAACGCCCACCTAGAATACTTGTAGTTCAGCGTAAATAGGATTCGAATACAACCTCGAGCATAGTTTTTATGAGTGCGCAAATACATCACATAATCTTCGTCTTCTAATAGCGTTATCGAAATTTTATGAGTGTATTTATATTCTAGTTAGTCATTCGATTGTGTACATTGACTATTAAAGAGATTCACTGATTATTTGACCTACCATTTCAACTTTAGTGTAAATTTCTGGAGAAACCGTTAGTGTTTGTATCACATAGTACACAGACAATGTGCCCACAGTTTGTCAGTCAAGGAGGTTTACAAGTTCTATGTGATTTAATTCGTATGCCTGGTTTGCCGTATGATTTTCCTGTTTCTGCAACTTGTGCTTCATTGTGCAAAATTTTCGAAGATTTAGCGAATTCTGTTGACCTAACTGATGTAACTAAACCTTTATTCCAGGTGAGTGTCTCTTTTTTTCGTATATAAAATGTTTTTTTTCCATCTTTATCTACTTTTTACTAGTTCACAAATATTACCGCCAGTTTTTACTAGTTGACCTTAGCGCAAATTTCATTCGTATGAGGTTCAAATAAAATAATCAGAGGTAGAAGCATGTTTTACTCTGCATTCTGCATCCCATTTCTAACTGTTGTTTTACGTATTCAAACCGGTTTCCATATGCGGAAATTAAAATAACCAACTGGTGTAAATAACCGTTATTCAGTGGGTGTAACTCAATCCATTATGTAACCTACAAGCTATTTCTTGGCTACAATTTGTTTTAATTTCATGTCAGTTATTAACTGAGCAACTTGAGGCATGTAAAGTATTCATGTTACTCGCAAAATAGAAAAACTGTAGATTTTAGTCATGAGTTCTCATGCAATTTTACCAATATGTTCATGAATTTATTATATAGTCATTTTCAAACAATTTCATACTTCTCTAAACCCAAAAGAATCGGATACTTTAACGTTTTCTGGCAGCCAAAAGGGATAATTGTATGTTAGAAGAATGTCACTCACTAGGCTGTATATCTAGTTGCTATTTAGTACGATCTGGACATAAATTTGTTCAAGAAAAGTAAACTTTGCTGATTATCTTATTTATTGCACTTCATAGGTTTAACGTGAGATAACTATGATATTTTTTGATATACTTTGGTTGCAGTACATTTTATATCTACAGAATCATTACTTGAATAAAGGGAAATCCCCATTACTACTCTCATTGATATACAACATAGTTGAGGTCTTTGCTTTATGTGGAAGACATTGTTTCAGTTCTTCCTATTTCTTGCGTTTTCTCTTGATAATCAAATTGGTCATGAATCAAATACTCTAATTTCTTATTCAGTTCACTAAATTTGTTCGCAGATACAAAGTTATCGCATCTTTATAAAGATCTCTTGCATGAATCAGGTACTAAATCCTAACTATACAGTAGGGTTTGAACGATGGTTAACAGATTTTTAACGTGCATTATTGTGCGTAATCTTACTTGGGGTTAACTGAGGCTGGTAAAACCTATTTTAAGGTTCATGAACAACTATGTTTTCACCTTCATGAGCAACTTAAATTTAATCTGAACGTATTTTATTTTATTCATCTTGGCGACTAACAGTGGAATCCAGGATGCGCGTTTCGTCTTGTTTGGGACTCGTCAGCTGGATATGCTTGCACCCCAGTAAGTGGTATTGTTCTCACAGGGACTCGAACTTAGTCCTCACCGCTTCAAACGTCAAGACGTTATCCACTGGGCCACTCGGACACGATAGTCACCTCTTGTGCAATAGATATCAGCTGTTGATATGATACTTGTAAATCCCCGTTATTTTATGTTTGATTAGTGAAAAACGGAACAACACTATTTCAAACATTAATTTTTTCTATACTCTTTCTTTTTTATTAAGTGTTTGGAGATCTCATTGGATAAGCTTTCTGCACTGCATAATTCTAATTATCCAATGGGTTCTATACTTCTACGTGAATATTTATCTGGCGAACATGAAGTGCTGCACGAATTGGTAATATTGGCTTCGGTTATCTGCATTTTGGTACAGATGATTCAGCATATTAAAACTGTATTTCATGTATCATTAGCTAGTATTTGGTTAGCTCAGAACTACTTGAAGATATTAGGGTAAGCTAAAGTTTGATTCAGAAGATTATTTTCTAAGAGTGATTTTTCACTTTATGAAACGGTCATACGAGGAGATATATGCAAACAAAATACTACGTGATCTCACTATATCAGACTGACTTGTCAGAATTCACATCATTCTGTGAATGAAGTTCTTTTTATGTACGGTTTTAGTTCAGTTATAGTCTGGGCTTCTAAATGCTTCGTTCAGAACTTTAGTCCTCTTATCTCGGCATGATCGATTGGTAACTGTTCCTTCAGTCTAAAGACTGAACTACCAGCCTACTGATTGCTTGCATACATTATTGTTTTAGACAGAAATAAGCAGTCACATATGAAAAAGATGTCAAGACGACTAAATAACTACGATACAACCATCAGTCGGTCCAGAATAATTTGAAGATCAGTATAAAACCGATAAACCCTCGCCAGTGGGATATAAAACTGCAATTCTATCCTTTATGATACAAACATCAGCACTAAGTAATACAAAATGGAATTAATGATATCAGCGGTCATAAAAAGCTTCTAGACAAAAGGGAATAAGAATTATGATAGGATTTTCAAGTTCCAGGTCAGAATCTAACGAGAATACATCTAGGTCACTAAGGTTGATTTTAAGCTATATCTCCTAAAGTTTGTAACCATCTATTTTAGTTGTATTATGGAAGCTGTCCAAGAAATCTGGCTTTCTCAACCCAGTTTAGATCAACAGTCACTTCATGAGTCGTTTGCACGTCTTTATGAGTTTATCCTCACCCTACTCTCACCAAGTTAGAATGGCTGCTTTGAAAACACAACAAGTTTACCTCCTGAGGATTCATGACCTTACCTGCTTTACCTAATACTCTGTATCTAGCGTCTGCACTGTTCACATCCAAAAGAAATGAAAGTTATGATTTCACCTGATAAGTTAGTTGTATAACATGAGCAGTTTAATCAGTAGTACTAACTCCTGTTTGTTTTCCCTATTCTCGTTGCCATGAAATCGATTTGTCATGTCCCTGTCGTAAAATCCCTCTTGAATTTCTCTCCGTACATTTGTAAGGAAGCACGTGTGTATTACATTGCTGAAAGAATAGTCTTAATGTTTCCCCTCCTATGTTATTTATTGAAGTACCCTTTTATGAGACGAATTAAAGTGCTGATGTGCTCTAGATGCAGTAAAGTTCATTTAAAAAAGACTGTCGTTTTCATACTCTACATTTGCTGAGGTAGTCTCTTGTGAAGAAATCAACCTGTGCAGTCTGATGAGGTGGGAGCCTTCTATGAGTATGTCTATAATGCGATTGACTATAAATAAGGTGGACATCCTTAATGAATACCACTCAACGTACATAACTCACCCGACACCTCACCATAGGCTCTAACACACCCATGATTGTTCCAGTATGGATCTTTCAACAGAGTGGTGTATTTAACATTCATTTCAATGAGAGACATTACCATAAGGCCTCTTGATAGACAGAGTCAAATGTCATCATCAGGTCAAGAAATGCAGACAGCGTCAGTTGTGGTGAATATATCTGTGCTCCAAGACCTAGCGGTATATGAAGATCTGGTCACCATACTTTTCATCAGGTTTAAAAACTGACTGGTTTCCTCGAGCATGCTGTTCACGAGTTGTGATTATGTGTCTGATGGCTGTAAAACCTAGAATCTTAAACAATGTTCGTCAAGGTGATTTTCTGGTCACCTCTCCTTTTTTGAAGACTGGGACAACCAGCAGTCGAGACCAGTCAAAGGGGATCATATCTGATCCCTCCATTTGGCACGTGATGATTCACTTAATATAATTAACGATTTTAGACCTCCATCTTTAAATGCTTCTTGTGCAGGTCCATCAAACATACACTCCTTTGTTTTAAGTTACTGGGAGCCTCATTGTTCTAGAAACCTGCAAGAATCCATTATTTCAAATAAATGCATTATGATCTATCAGTCCTTACTAACATTTTTCCAGCACAAATAACGTTGTCGCGTTCAGATAACCATCTAACGAGCTTCATCGTCAAGCTAGCCTTGGAATGGTTTTGCAGTTGTGATCTTCCCATATCCACTTAAGCTTATACAAATTTGCGCTCGGACCAACCTTTGTTTACTGCACATACTGCAAGTTCTCCATAAAGTGTCTGCTTTACACCAACTTTCTCCAGCGATAACTGATAGTAATATCGTCTATGAGTCCACTGTTGCCAACCGGTATCGGCAATTGACTTTCAGTAGGTGTACTGCATATTTGCACTCCACTCTATCTATCAAGACTTAGACAGCTAAGTAGTATCATTAGCCCTAATAAAATAAGTGTAACTTTCTGCCTAGTAAATCAACATACGCGTCTTGGTTGAACATTTTTTGCATGTCAACCGTCAAGTTAAAGTCGATGGACAGCACGTTAGACGGTGTCTCTCTTACGTATGAAATCTGTGTTGAATGGTGGTTGTATGAGCACAGTTTTAGTATTTGATCGTCATTACCTTTTTGTTTAGCTTGAATTTTGAAAGTATCACTTAACTGCCGTCCTGCCTGACTTGCCCATCCTAGTATCTTAAACAAAAGTTGTGTGCAAAGTTGATTTGTCTTCCTGTTATTAATATATCTTCACATGATCTGATTACTATCCGGTAGTGAGTGAGTGATACCTGGTTGTACATACAGAAAGTAATGAATAATGTCTGGAGATGTACTATTTTTGAAACAGACAAAATTAATGTGTAATCTCGCACACAAGTGCATCAGCTCAAGTTGTCACACTTCCCGGTAGTACACAAAGAACAAGTGAATAGAAAAAGAGTGATATTACAGTAGACGAAGTTGTGTGACAGAATAAGCAATTCTAAGACAACGGTCAGTGCAAATATTCAAGCTTTAGAAAACGTCAAGGAGTGAATACATCTGATTCCCAGCCAAGTCACCAAGAGTCGTCAACCACTGATTCCTGTCATGTTGGGGACCTCAGTCGGGTAGTCTACGTCTCCTCACATGGCTCAGACCAACAATCAGGAACTTTATCGACTGGTTCTACTTAATTTCACCATCCTGAACCCTTTCCCAACCTAATCCAACATCTCCTAGCATAGCACGTCGAAGTCATATCATTTTAGACACCTCAAACGTTGCAATGTACTTGGATTCTAGCAAGTAATTTGTTGACAGCAAATCAAAAAAAATGTAAGAAGAACGAGAATATTCGCACAAAATACTGTGATTAAAGATCAGAGTTCTTAACATGATCCTTCTTGATTAAGGTCAATATCCTACAAGTGAATGTCTACTAATAGCTTATCTTCAGATCTAATGAAATCATCTTCGTCTAAGCCATTTCTGCATCCTGCTTTTTACACAATGAGTACAATTTTTTAAACATTATGAATCATCTTCGTTACCTTAGCATCTATAACTAACAGTGAAAGATTGAAAATTTTCAGTGAACTCAGAAATGAGGTGCATATTTATACAGTAGGCAATGTGTTATAATTGTTTTGTGAGGCCTAATGATTGAGTGGTTTTAAAGGTCGCCCCAACAACTGATGTAACAACCAATCATGTTTCTCTGTTCTATGAAAAATGGTCTTCTCAGACAATACCGCAACCTGATTGGTTATTTTGTCAGTTGTTAGGGTGGCCTTCAAAGTCACTCCTAATGATCTACGTTGCCGCTCAGACCGTGGTAGGGAGTGGGTGGGGAGGGTTGGGCCTATGGCCCACTAGTTGGAAATCAGTTGCGTAGATCAGTGAGCTACAGCTGCATAATATTGGTATAAACGGCGCACCAACTTTCTCATCATGTTACTCTTTATTTAGCTGTATTTAATTGGCATATAGTGAGTGTGTATTTGTTGAGTCGACTTTTCACTGTCGGTCATGTATATGTAGCCTCATATAAACCTTAAAGATATTAACACTATACTGTCTAATCATTATTTCATGCCTTCTCTGCATTTATAGCCGGCTATATTTAGGAGTTTCTTGGGAGGCGGGGATTATTTTAAAAGTTCTATTTGGCGACAAAGATATAGTTGAGTCTGATATGTTAGATGGATTAAAAATATCTCAAAATTTCCAACCACAGCAATCTTCAGATCCTGGTACACAAAGCAAAGTCCCAACTGAACCAATACCTCGGTTCGTCGAAGCTTTGCACATGTATTCTCTTATCAAACAGTCAATTTCATCTGCTTCTGATGGTCAAACTACCTTTATACATAAACATCCAGGTTGGTTACTATTGTATAACCATTTAATCCATATAAATATTTATATTTTACAGATTTCATTGTAGTTAAGTAGAAGTATTTCGTTAACAAGTATCCATCATGACTTATCAATAATATTTACTTGTATTTTAGAACTTGTAAAACCACTCAACCGGATATTACACGTCACGGCGTTTCTTATCAATTCTGTCACGGAATTATTTACTGCCCTTGGTAGATTCTTCTCAAATCGTGCACAAGTGAATTACAGACGTCGTCGAGCTTCACTATTTTCAAGTGATGCTATTCCACAAGAAATGAAAGCTCCTGCTTTAGCTCAAGTTGCAGATATTCTTTCAGCTACATACGCATGGGAACCAGCTTCGAGTAGTCGTAGTCATCGAGCAGCTGCATCCTTAAATTATGCTATTCGTTATGCTTCTATTCGACTGACTAATCTGCTACTTCATGATTCTATCCAAAGGGATTCCGATTTAGGAATGGTTAGTGCCTTTTACAAGCTTAATGGAATAAATCTTTACTTCGGGTGAGTTTTGTTATTATAAAATTATTAATATGTATTAAATATACTTCCACATGAACACTTACTTAGCTTCAATTGGTATGGTAAAAAGGTTAAAATTATTATTATTATTGACCAAAAAAGTCAAAGAGACATCACATATATTCGTGTCCCGCTTGCTAGTAGTCATTAAAACGACATATTGGCAATCTGCTTGACATTAATACACTATCTGTGTAATCACACCAAACAAGAACGCTGAAAAGGTATCTGGCTTTCATTAATATTGTTTATACACACGCTTTGAATGAGCACCAAACAATTCAGGGAAACTTGACTCTGAATTCCGGTAAATAATATCACTAAACTCAATGAGTTAAAATATACGTGACAGTTTTTAGTGTGTCTGTAACTTCTCGTAATGACCACTATGAGCAGGGGTTGTGAGGATTAACACTCGTTAGTAAAGCATAGTCTGAATTGTGTGTTGTGGTATAGACCATTTAACTCACTGAAGTTTTGAAGGTTGTTTTAAACCTAGAACACCCTTACAAGTCGGTATTCATTACAATTTATAAGGGAGAAAATAAGGTATAATTATACTCCAGTGCAGGTTTCTGTACTAGGCTATGGATCGGACTTACTGTCGGAATGCTCTTCATATTTCGGTTGCCCAGGTCATAGTAGGTGAAGCGGGGTTTGAACGTGTTGATATCTCCTCCATGGAAGAAGGGAGACCTTCCTTTGATAAAAACGAAAGAATCACCTTGACTAACATAATGGCATTCGAAGATTGCATATAATTCCGTTGCCTAAGAGGTATTGTGACAGTTTTTGACTGTTAAGTGAGTGCTGAGCAAGTATATCATTTTGTTTAAAGCTCTCTAAGCAACCATATTAAAGGCTCGTGAGGGACTATCTTCTGAGGTAACCAGAGTTGTCTACTGTTAATGTTCTTATTTAACTTTATTATAAATGTGCTGATGGATATAACTCTTGAGGATCTCCAATTTCTCTGAAACAGATTTGCTATACACAGGGCAGCTGATTCACCTTGAGTACGCTGACAGCAATTCCGTTGAACAAAGAACTAGACAAAATATAAAGTTTTAGGAACGCGAATCTCATGATATTTGACATATTTTGCAACTATCGAGTATGTATTAGAATGCAACAACCGATTCCTGGATTCGAGATGTTGACTCAATTTTAGTTAACTAATTATTAACTAAACGCGTTTAGCATCTACATTATCTCTACTACTGTAAGACTTGATCGTCTAAGATTTTAGATTTATAAAGATTATAGGTTTTGGATTATGGTTGCATACATAGCATTATTGTTGTTTAGTGGGACCACATTGTACATTCTTGAAGTTGGGCTCGAAGAAAGGCAAGTTATTAGTTGCAGACACTCCTCAATGAGATAACTTTAAATTGATCACACTAATACAGATTTATTCATTCCATCCCCTTACCTTAAGTAGTTTTAACATGTTACCGATCTTCAAATCTATTTATTCGCTCCGTCATATCATTTTCGTCTCAATACTATACTGTTACTGTTCATTTTCTTATTCTGTACCGTTACGAAGTGTAACACCAACGGACACACTTCCTTGAAAGGTTCTGTATTGACCATGACCATCTATCGATCCAAAACCCAAATGTTCTTTAATAGTGAATGCATCTGCACCTTCCTGTTGAGCACTTTTTATTTTGTGATGAGCTTCGTACAAATATGGGCCTATAGTTCCTGAATATTTGTAATGCCATAAAGTCGTTTTAACCTTGGGCATTCAACTAGACTTCTTCATGTCCATCACTATCTAGATTCTGTGTTTACTCTGTTTCGTTCTTTCCTTGTACTCTATGCCTAGTAACGATTTTTATTTCCCATCTGTAACAGGTTATTTCGTCAGTTGATCAGTTTTGATTTAAATGATCCGTGTATTCGAAGTAAGTTTGTTATATTGTTGTACTGTATGGGTATTTCACGCAATTTTTTTTTTGATCGAATCTAATTTCATTTCACTTAGTGTTAATGCATCTATTCATTTTCCACACTGGATTTCACCTTATGTAACTGCTCCATACATTTTATACACCCGTAAATTTGTCCCTTCTGGCTATATACCAGTGAACATAACACGTAGACTATTTTTAACGTATTATTATTATTGTTAGAACATGAACATCGAACACCAAGGGCACCAAGAAATGCAACACACAAAATAATATAACAACATTATGAAAACACAAAGAGAAAAGAAGCGGATTTAAAAAAACTCAATGTGACAATAGAATGATTCGGAAGCCAGTTCAGTAAGATACATTAAGAACAAAACATTCATTACCTTTCAACAGCAGAAGATAGAGGGAAGCTACAACATGACCACCACTAGTTTCGATTCTCAGACATATTTGATAACGTCTCAAGTCACCGAGTTGCATGGTCTCTCCGATCCCACCCACAGAGTTGTGGTACACCAACCAACAGATGCTAACCTGATACAACTATCCTTCATCCCACGATGCTACATCATACACTGAACACCCCTTCGCTTCTCCCATCCAGTTCCAGGGTTAGCAAACAATAAACGGTGTAGAAGCCGTTGGGACAACATGCTTAACAAATGTGTATCAGTCTATATTTAGTTTCGGTTCACTCATTATTCTACTCAGAGCCTACAGGGGTGCGTTCACGTGCATCCATTAATTCACAACAAGCTACTGATATCCACTGGTTCCTTTCAACCACTCTTTGAAAGTCGGGTACAGTTTCAACGCTAGTTTTACAGCACATTGGAGATGGCACCAAGATTCTTCTGGATGACTGACCGTCTTCTGTTTCGATGACTACCTAGCCAGTTTCTCACTGAAAGCCGCATTAGTGCTCTCATTGCCGAGCTGCACTCGTAATGGTCTTGTTGCTGAAGTTTTTCTATGTCCATTGAGACGCAGACATATATGCGCTTGAACCAACACGTGGTCGCAACCCGAACCCGTGTTTCAGAAAGAGAGTGACAGCCAGTTTTCAACCGACCATCCCCAGCGATGACTGATGATAACGTGGTCTACCTGTGTCCATCAGTGAGTTGAGCTCAGTGGATGCCACGTCAGATAATGTCCATCTTTATGTCTGAATTTTGTTCCAGCTAGAAATAAACTTTTAACTGAGCACACTTGTAGTAGGCGATCACCGTTATCTGTTCGTTCAGCCTGGATTCCCAAAGTGCCACCTAATTGCCTTGATACCTGAATCAGTCTACCCACTTGTGCATGGAAATCACCTGCAACAACAACCGCGTCTGAACGTTTAGCTTTCAGAGGGAGGCTTGACAGTTTTCGGTAGAACTCATACTTGACTTAATCCGAACTGCAGTCAGTGGGTGCGTAAGCAAGGATTACAAAGAGACAATGAATGGCGAGTTCCACTATTCCTTTTAGTTCTCATTGTGCTGTTTAGCTGGACAGCGCATAGGCGACCATCAACTGGGATCCAGTCTGTTGGTGAGCTTTCTGCCCTAATGGTTAATGCTATGCCGACACCTACAAGACTGTGAGACGTAGCTGTCGAATCTGCAGAAACTCAGACAGTGAATTTTGCAGATTGAACATATAGGCTGGGAGAGGTTAAGTGAATAACCACACTTGGGTCCTGTATGTGTGTATCACAGACACAGCAAACATCCACAGCCTGAGTTTTGACCAATTTGACCGAAGATGTGGACATTGAAGGCTCCAATGTGTAATTTGGAGCATGGTTTAAGGAAACCAAGGATGCTGCTGTTCTGTGGACTCATTATTGTCGAAAACTGCAGAGGTCGAAGAAATTAAACATGATGTAGGATTGTGAACTGAGGGGAGATTAGAAGGTAAGGATTTGGAAGATGGATAATGGTCTTAGGGAACTTGAGTGCTGATAGAGTTGTGAGGGCTGTTGACACTTCCCGGCTGCCCGCATCATGGAAGACTAGGTCTTCTTGGGGTGCCTGAAAAAGGTTCACCTGGCTTTGAGCCAACTTGTGCCATTCTTGGCGCTTCCGTGATAGTGGACTACCTGTCAATAACCGAATATACTCTGCTGTTGTTCACTCTTTTCTTCTACATGCTGTGAAACATGGCTACAGAAGGGGAAGGACATCAGAAACTTTTATATGTTCGATAACTGTCGACTTCATACCATGTATTATGTGCATCAAGGGACCAACACGTTAGCAATGCAGAAGTCTAGCATAGAGTTTACATAGAAGAGAAGCCTCGACTAAAGGGTTTGCGAACCGACACCGATTGAGGTCGTTGAGATTTGTGTTACGCATACCTAATCACCGTTTGCTTATTCGCAAAATGTCAGCTGAAGTAGGTTCAGGTTGGAAAAAGGTGGTAGGTGGCTAGAAATGGTGTTAGCCTACTTTGGTGACCCATCTTGACTGTTATTTGATTGCATCATCTGTTACCAACCTAAGATGATTATTTCTTCACCCTTATTGTCATACACTACAGTATACATAACAATACAAGGCTTCGACGCGATAGGACTAACGACAGAAAAATGACTTCTCAAGATGATATTCAGCTGACACCCGAAACAGAAAATGGAATTGAAAGTATATTTATTTCACCCGAATCATCCTTATAACTGAAAGTTCGATTGACTTTAAAGGCCACCCTAACAACTGATAAGACAGCCAATCAGATTCCTTTATTTTGTGAAAAAGTACTTTTCTGGAAGAAATACGAAAGCCTGATTGGTCACTTTGGCAGTTGCTAAGGTGGCCTTTAAAGCCTCCTGAAAGTTCAGTCGTTTAATATACTCTTAGTTGGCCTTGTCTAAGTAATACAAAATAGCATAATTAAAGGGTAAAATGAATCTATTATGGTTTAGTTATCTTAAACCACGGTAGAAATAAGTGACATTGCATGGAACAAAAAAGACGCGAAAATAAGGCCTAAATTGTACAATGAGATAATAAATACATGAGTTATTTTTTTTAGGGATTGGCAGCTCTAACATATATTTACTCTGTCGTCATCTGTTCATGTCGATTGTTTTTTAACTGAACTCAATATTTTGCTTATTTATCGTATGACCTACTTACGGAGTCGTATAGTTAAGTCATTACTTTTATTCGAGAAACTTCCATGAGATTATATACATAATTATGACCATTTGTTAACTCTCCCTGATTTTGCCGTTATCGTCTGTCTTAAAACTATGACTATTTCTGTGCGTCTTAACCACTGACAGATATTTTGTTTTCTTTGAATGAATGAAAGTAAATTTTGGGAGATTAGTGGGGATTTTATTGTTAAGTTAGTATTTATCACGGACTGGCATCAGTTGAAGAAACATCGGAAACCTGGGAGCACCAGACATCTGTTTCGTCCTAGTACGGGACTCCTTAGCAGTACACACCCATGACCCAGCTAGGGATCGTGCTTGAAACCTTCAGGTTTCATGTCGAACATGTTAACCATTCAGCCACTGAGTCGGAGTTCACTGATTCACAGTTTTCTACTCCTATCAATTCGTGATAGGAGAATCGATCTCAGGGGCGCAGATGTATCCACACATTATCTCCACCTTAATCATCATATTGAATTCAGTATTTTCTTATTCTTCCTCTCTCTTTTACTACTTTTGACTTCTTTATTTCTTTATCCCTCATCTTATTGCTTTCTCGCTTGATGTGGTGATATGAGGTGTTGGAACTTGGATCGTTATGTTGTAATACTTGTTCCTATATTGATGTGGATAATGCTGTTGTAAAGTTTGACAACTTGGACCGGTGAATTATCGCAGTAGAGTCTACTTTTCTTTTTGCCTTTGTGACTACTTTCAGTCAACGAAGTTTTATTCTCCGTGTAAATCAACATACTAATTAGCTTACATTTCGAATGTCTTTCATAAACAACTGTCATTTACATCCCAAATACTGTAAGATTTGTATACAGTATTAATTCATGTATATGTATTTTTTCACATTTGATTACAGAACCATTATCTATTGTCTTAGAAGAATGGCTTGTATGTGCTGACCGTATGAGTAATGCCAACTTTTGCGCTGCAATCAGTCCGGACACTTCACGAACAAATGATGGTGATGTGAATACTGTTAGTGTGGCTAAGATTACTGAACGCGTTCATCAGTGCATGCTTCCTGCCCTTTCACAATTATGCTCTCGCACGGATTTGCAGGTAATATTGACAGTATACCATTCTACTTTCTATTAATCCTGTGTATAAACAGTATTCTTTGCTTTACTATAGAAGAAATATTTCAGAAGAGTTAGTAGCTTAGTGTATGCAGTAGATACACGTTTGTTTTAAGGGTTAGGCTTAAATTATTCAGTTCAATGAAGATTGCCTTGAATATATGAGTTCATTGCTCGACAAATGAAACAGTTAACTTCACCGTATTAATTACTGAAGGTGATAGTTGTGTCCATTGTTTGACACAGACTTACGATAAGGGATATTGTCTGTATTTTTTCACAGAAAGGTTATTAACCATTAAGGTTATGTGAAAAAGATGATATTTAGACCTTTAATTGAAGATTTGGGCAATTTAGTGTACTCAGTCACTCCCCGTCTCCATTTTGCTGATTTCAGTCCAATGTTAAAACTCTCAGTTATGGCAGGGTTGTATTTTATTCAGAGAAATGTCAACTAGAGTTAATCTCATGAGGAAAAATATTTGTTTGTTTGTTTCCTGTTTAATACCGATGAACAATAAGTATTTGATATAATATGGTAACACGTGATCGTTGCAGCTCTTTTACAAAGTAGTGTATTTTCGTTCTCTTTATATTTCCACTTTGTTTTTTTAAAGGATTTACTCAGTCGCCGGGCTATTGAACATTTGCTTAGTATGCTGGTTACAGTTGTGCCGCGTATCTTTAAAAGTAAACAACTCACAACAGATTCTGAATCATCAAATTCTCTTCCTCCATCTGGTAGTGTAAGTTTATATATTATAATTCTTGTCATCTTAACATGGTTTTTGTTACTCATAGTAACTTTACCGACTACAACATATATGTCTCACCTCCTTTAAGTTAATCATACTATTCCGTAATTCACTAGTAAACCAAACTCATTTGTCAAAGATAAGTCTCTATCATGTTCTGAAGCAAAAGACATATCATAAAATTTATTTCCACCAATTTATTGTTTGGTAGATGAGAGTTTAGGTAACTCAAAGTCTTACCCATTCCTGTAATTATGTCCCCCCTTTTTCATATGGTTCACAGTTATTCTTACTTTGAATACTGTACTTGCTTTAGTCAGTTAGTTATTCAAGTCTCAAAACTTTTGGTTCTGACACAAGTCAAGGTTTCTATCCTATATAATCATTTAACGTCCTTACCACATAGTGCTCATATTTTTGTCCCAATCATAACAGATCATGTGTAAACAGAATTACTGGACATTGGGAGATTGAACCTGCCTTTTAATCTGTTTATAAAACTGCAAAATTGCAATTTTTACACGTGAATCATCTGACTAACAAAATCAACATAGAGAACCCTGTCACACAAGTCCATCGACTCAAGGTACCACAGTAATACACAAGAAATAGGTGGCTAGTAAAAGAGTGGTATCAAAGTAGATAATGTAGTGTGAGAGAATAAATAATCTGAAGGTAACGGATATTGCGAATATTCAAGCCTGAGGAGATGTCAAGGAGTTATTGCGTCTTCGCCGTTGTGACCAATTTCCTACCATGTCACCAAGAGTCAGTTCTCAACCACTAATTCTTATCGTCTCGGGGACCCCAAATAGGCAGTCTGAATCTCCCCACCAACAGTGAGAAACTTTATCAGCTGGTGCCAGGTCTTTGTTTGGTCCTAATCCAACTTCCCCTAGCATGAGACGTCGAAGTAGACAGCTGATTGGTATGTACAGTACATGTTCGAGCCATCTCAGTTGACTGAGGCTCACAACCTTATCAATCGACTTGCTTGTCTTATCTAGTACCCCTCGCAGACCTCAACAGTGGTGAAATGGGGATTCCACCAAACCCTGTAACCGCTTCATGTCTTCTACTTGAATCGTGGATCATCTATAAAATTATTTTGATGTCTTATGATGATTTTCATAATTTGATGGACTTGACTGTCATTTCCTTTGAGTATCTTAAGTAATAAGTGTATTCCCTACTGAGAAATCTAACATAAATTAGTCACTGAAAAGTACTTGAGATGATTTTAAAGTTTCTTTTTACTATTCCAATTGTTTTTGTTTATGATTGATAACTCCGTTCTTTTTATAAAATAGAATTCATAATTACATGACTTTTCAGACTAGGCAGTAAGTCGATTCCAAATTGTCATCAAAATACAATTGTTTGTTTGTATGAGTTACGGCTAATTGTGAATAGTTCAATTATCAAGACTTGTTTATTGTCGATTCCATTATCTTTGTCACAAATTGCTTGTATGATTTCCAAATAAGCTTGTATAAAGAAACTAGTGGATAGATCAACGTGAAGAGTTTGGCGGTCCGAGCCGCCAACCTTTCCTACAGTGCATAATGAAAATGAGCAGACGTAAAAATATAAAAGGGAGTTAATATCAATAAAATACCTAGCGTTTCAAAGGTGATCGGAAGTAAGTACATTTACAGCATTATTTTTGATTTCAAGCCAGTTCGGAGAGTCGCCAATCACTGATTCCTTGTACATCTCGAGGACCTTGACCAAGCAACGTACACTTTTATTCACAGTTTAAACAATCACTGAGTAATTTTATGAACTGGCCTCATGTTTTGCTTTGATCAACCTTTGTGCTCTATCGACTTATCTTTAACTAATATTATACATCAAGATATATATTGGTTGAACTACATATGTACTATCCAATTGTTTGAAGATGTTTCATAAGTCCATTAACTGACTTCTTTGCTCAACACTTCTCATCTGACTTCATAGTGGTTCTTTCAGTGATATGCTGATATGACAATATATTTTCTTATACATACTGTTTGAAACATTTTTTAGACGATTACCTTAAGTCATGATAAGTCAGGTACATGGAAGTATTGCGCGTATTGTACTCTATACCAGTACCTCCATATTGCAACTTACGTTAGAAGACTGAGTTTTTCAACGACTAAAAACATTTTAAAATATATAATCATATTCATAAGGCGATTAGTGTCCGTGTGTGCACCAATAAAGTGCAAAGTACTCTTACAAAATTGGTGGCAACTTGTGCATGTGCTCACCCTTGGTGGTAAGCCGTTGGAAGTAATTGAAAAGTTCGTGTATCTAGGTAGTTGTGTGTAGTGCTGGGGATGTGAGTGGTGGAATGTTCAACCGCATATCGGAAGCCAGAGTTGCACAAAAAAATCTGGACCACCTTTGTCGCCGTCGCGACATTAGTCTGTCCGTGAAATCTTGGGTTTACACCACTTGAGTGCGAGCAGTTCTGCCCTATGCTTGTGAAACCTAGCCTCTCTGAGTCGAGGATATGCAACTACTTATATGTGTTCGATCATAGTTGTCTCCGTAGGATTGCTCGTATCTGTTTATCACAACATGTCAGTAATTCTGAGGTACGATAATATGTGGTTGGGCATGATGCATCTCATCATTCAGTAAGTGAAGTCATTTGGAAACACCAGCTTCGGTGGCTAGGACACATTTGTTAAGCATGTTGTCCCAACGGCTTCCATAGCGTTCATTATTTGCTGAATGGAAGTGGGGGGGTGTTCAGTGTATGATGTAGCATCGTGGGATGAAGGATAGTTGTATCAGGTTAGCATCTGTTGGTTGGTGTACCACGACTCTGTGGGTGGGATCGGAGAGACCATGCAACTCGGTGACTTGAGACGTTATCAAATGTGTCTGAGGATCGAAACTAGTGGTGGTCATGTTGTAGCTTCCCTCTATCTTCTGCTGCTGAAAGGTAATGAATGTTTTGTTCTTAATGTATCTTACTGAACTGGCTTCTGAATCATTCTATTGTCACATTGAGTTTTTTTAAATCCGCTTCTTTTCTCTTTGTGTTTTCATAATGTTGTTATACTATTTTGTGTGTTGCATTTCTTGGTGCCCTTGGTGTACTATATTTGTGTTCTAATAGTAATAACTAATCATATTCAATATTTTTTTTGTCTAAAAATCTTCTACCTAGTGGGATAAGAGTTCTGATAATAATGAAAGTCAAAATAATCAACTGCTTGCTGAAAATATTCAAGAAGAAGCTTCTTGTACACAGCCTTCCATTGAGTTTGATCCACAACTGGAAGTTCGAGATATCAATCAAAGTGATGCTGATCGATTATCGGAATTACATGTAGAATCTGGTGAACAGAATGAATCATTTTTACACAATACCAATACACCTTTACAGGTATGCAATTATTGTGCAGTCTTTTTTTGGATGACATTGGTATTTTTAAGCTTTTTTTTGGGAGGAATAATGTCAAATTTGTTATATTGTATTCAAAATTTTTGTAGGTTATTTCATACTGTTGTAGAATATGAGTGATGTTTTTATAGTAGAAACACTGTTGTTCAAATTTCTAATTACCCAGATAAATCAAGGAGTAAATGGGTTTTTTCCGTCGATTGATTCAGCTACACTTCTTTGAGATCTCAAGATTTACTTATCACTTGTTTAATGGTTGCGTTGGGGTTCATCTCTGTTGTTGTGACCTAAAGTCTTGAGCACACATCTGTTGAGTTGCACTCATTAGTTGATTTACCCAGTAATGGTATCGTTCATTATGAGCACGTAGGATTGTACTCTCCTATCCTTTATTAACTACTAAAGTATTAGTTCTTGAAACAGAGACGTCACTTAGTACTGTTAGTACAGGAAATGTAACCCCATTGTCATTATAAAACATCTTTTGATTTACTTGTTGTAGCAATGTCTACCAACTAACACTGATACTGCTGCAGTTAGTCAGGATCCATTGGTTACGTCTCAGGTTATCGATCAAAGATCGTGTCAATCACAACCAACAAGTCGTATAACTGTTGATGCGGATTCAGACTATTCAGTCAATGCTCCTGAAGTTATGGAATCTCAAGATTCAAATTCCGCTGCTGATGATGATGGTATACGTGACCCTGAAGCTGTACAGCTGATGGAAGAAATGGGTTTTGCTCGGGATTTAGCTATAGTTGCTTTAGAGGTAGGCTGCAGTGTTTCGTCATTATAATAAGACGGTTTATCTATTCATTTTCTCTTCCCATCGATTTTCATAACTCTTATCTTGCTTTATGAGAATGCTTTGTTGCTAACGCATTTCTTTATTTTCGTTTCCAGCAAACAGGATGGAATGCCAATGAAGCTGTGAACCTTGTAATAGCAACTTCTCCAGGTGATTTAATGAGAAATGCGAATCTATCTTTAATTCCTGGCTTAAGAAGAGGAAGAACATCCCGTAGAGCTCAACATCGTCACACAACCGGCACAGAAGAAACTAGTGTGGTAAATGAACCAACTTTGTCAGCTGATGCAGATATTCCAAGGATTCAGTCTGATGCCTATGAACACATCACAGAATTTATTAACAATGTAATATATAATAATCAACCTTGTTTTTTTTGTTTATTATGTTAACCTATTGAGATGAATGGGGATTTTTAATCTAGAGGTAGTGTTCATCATGGACTGACATCAGTTGGGGAACCATTGAAAATCTGGAAGCACTAGACAGCTGTTTCGTCCTAGTATGGGACTCAGTAGTACGCATCCACGATCCGGCTGGAGATCGAACTCAAGACCTTCAGGTTTCACGGCGAACGCGTTAACCGTTCAGCCAATAAGTCGGTTATCATTGGTTCACAGTTTCCAACTTTTGTCAATTGACGATATAGCGCGAATATCACCAACTATGCCAACTGAAGACTTTAGGTGATTCCCCAACTGATGTCAGTCCGTGATGAATACTACCTCTATGTCATGTTTACAATTATTTATTACTTCCTTGGTCGTTATCTTGATGAATTACCCATTCAAACTACCCTCCCTTATTTGTGCTTATGGAATAGTCCCGTTTCCTGCGAAGACTAGTTCTGATACCAATTTTCTTCTATTCCTTGTTGTTGAACAGCTATAAATAAGAACTGAACCTACAAGATTTTACATTGGTTCAAGTTATCATAATTCGTGCTAGGGAAGTGAATAGAATTCAAAGGGATGAAAATAATGTTCTCGAAATGTATGAAGAAATTGGGATATGTTTCAAGAAACGAAATACTTCCATTAATAAAAATATCAGGGTTTATAATGAGAATAGCACCTGGTTATATACCTGCATCAGTGCTATCGAATCAGAGCAATATTCACCGAAATTTACAGTTATCGATTTAAATTCTCATATAAAAAAACCAACAATTATGGAATTCATGTGTGTGTGTGTGTTTTGATATATCAACAGTATGGCTTCGTGTTTCCTACTTCTGTTTAGTATTTGGCTGTTGAAATGGTATAATAAAGGTTACACTAAGTTTGAAAGTGTGTTCATACTGTAAGAACTTAGTGTTTAATTCATTTGCAACAATGAATCCATTAAAGGTTGCGTCACATTGGTCTAGATAGCTGGTACTCAACCAGTGAATTAGATCTTGTATTACTCACCGAATTATATGCATTTCATTTTTAAGTGGATTTATATATATTATTTGAATATGATTGAAATATTTTATGAATACTGCTAATATCTTGTGTGTAGGATACTGCGAAGTTTTGGGAAAAATCAGGGGGTTTTCAAGTTGTATGGACCATTATAACTTCACCAGTATATCAGTTTATAAATTCCTCTCGTTGAAAACACTATAGTTGTGGATCATTGGTCTCGAAAGTTGACTTCCCATCAATGAGTCTCGAGTTCGAACACCTCTCTACCTACCAAGGTTCAGGGAACTGGGTACTATCACAACCCCTCACATAATAGATGTGGTTCATCTCCCCTACTGCACGAATGTGCTCAAGGTTACTGAATGGATTTCGAAGCATTAAGCCGGTTTTTCAGCAACTAGACTGTTTTGCATTTGATTGACTCTAAACAGTACCGTACTATTAATATCATATTTTATCTTTTTGACTCTAAATCCAGTTTAATACCGATGAACGACTGGGATCACTGATCACCGTAGAATGTCCTACCATAACGGGTAGTGAAATCACTTTGCCATCATGCAGTAATGACCCTCAGAATGTAAAACGGTCTGTGCCACCTAAATTTCCAGTGGTAATGTTAGAGCCATTCAACGAAAAGTCATATAATGAAGCCCGTGAATCTCTCAAACAAAATGTCTTCAAAACATGCTATGCTATTGCTAAACGTCATCATTCAGATCAGGTAAGATTTTTTTTGGTGTGTATAAAAAGAATTACTCTCCCAATGAACTGCGGCTCATATTATCTCTTATCAAATCATCTTTGGAATAGTTGTAAAAGATATTTCGTTCCAGTTATAATAGGAATAGAGTTTTATAACACCGTTTATTTCCTGTACGGAAATAGCTGTGTATGCATGACTTCATATGAGTAAGGAGTAAAACAGTGCTGCTCGTTGTTGAGTTTCACCTTTCAGTAAAAACCTTAAAATACATTTGTGGTTTCGATGCTAACCGGTAATCAGTATCTTATTATCGATTGATTAACTTTTAAGACTGCAAATATTTGATTCGTCCAGGAGTAGTTTCCATGTGAAATCAAGCTTAATGTTGACGTAGTTAGTATACTGATAAAGGGGACCACTCAGCTTTAGACGACAACACGGTAAAATTTTTGATGATTGAAATAAGAGTAAAATCTCAACGTTAGCATTTAAGTTGTTTACCGGGTGACTTTATTTAGAGGCCACCCTAGCAACTGTTAAGATAGCCAATTACGTCTCTGTATTTCATGAAAAACTCACTCTAGCCGTAACATGATTGGTTATTTCAGTAGTTGTTAGGGCGGCCTTTAAAATCAACTCGTTTACCTCACTGAGTTGGTGGAGAGATTTAACCGATCGACTTATAGACTTCTGTTTCAAATCTGAAGTTTTCTTTTATATTGAATTATTAAAAAAGTATCTGTACACATATATTATAGTTTAATCCATTTATTTATTGTCTCTTTTTGTTTTTATAATTGCCATACTTTTAGATTTTGCATCAAATTGCAGAATTATTCCTATCCAGTGGTGAACATGAACGGTACATCAATGAATTATTTGCTGTAGTAACATCCAGCCTAATGTCAAACCTCGATATTTCACCTACACTTGTCAGCAGTAAAACTTCCATTGAGTTTCTCAGTGAAAATCAAGAGCTTACAAATCATAAGAAAGAGTATCAAACTGTTGGATTACATTTACTTGCTCTCTTATTCACAAGATGTCCATCAGTCTGTGCTTGTCTAGCTTGGAATCATAAACTGCCAAGTGTTCTGGTTCAGTTTATTTCACAATCTGACATTGTTGGTAAATCGGTAGTATTGGATAGTAGTAGTGGCACCAGTAGTCTGTATGAACACATGGATGTGGATGAAGGTGAACAAAGTTCATCTCATTATTTAACTTCTATTTCGCAACAAGATTATTATAAAACATTGACTTTGGTATTTCTAGTTCTGGATCAGTATGAAAGAAGTATTCAGGTATGTCAATGTTCAAGGATTTCGTACTTATTTTGTACTCCGCTGTCATTCGTTTTGATATAATGATGTATGATCACTCAGTAGTCGTAGACTGATATTCAATTTCTGTTGCCAATTGTCCTATTGAAACTGTATACTCTGTTTAGTAGACCAGTGGCTATATAACCTCTTATGCACTAGACTTTAAATCACATTCACTATATAAATATTACTGACTTTGACTAGTTGCTAATTATCAGCAGACCGAGGAGGATTCGAACCTCATAATCCACATATGAGAATTCTAGTACCTGAGCCAATAATTCACACAACCTAACGTGAAATGAACTTGCTAACTTGGGGTAGTGGTTGTTTCATTAAAAGAAAAAGAATTTCGTCCTGTACACCATTCTGTAATGTGGACACGATTGATGTTGACATTGATGTATGGTGGGATTAGCATTTGTGCGCATGTTCCTTTAGCTTTCCAAAGCTCATCCTGTGAGGTGAGTTCAAAGGTCACCCTAGCAACTGGTGAAGCAACCAATCACGTTCTTCTATCCTATGAAAAATTATCTTCCCCGCCAAAATATCGCAACCTGATTGGTTATTTTTGGCAGTTGTTAGGGCTGGTCTTTAAAGTCGTCTCATCCTCTTGATAAAGGTGTTTGTAATTAAAAATTTCTCAAATCCACCCCACTTTCGCTCGTCATAAGCGCATGTAGTAAGCTTACTGTTGCCATTGCTAACTACCTTTTGATGACTTGGTTGGATGTTATGTACCTGGTTGTGAACCACACACGGACTTACTATGCCAGCACTTGTGATATACTATCCGCTTACCAAGTCGGAGTCAGTAGATTAGGATTTTAACCTGCCAAGCCCACTGCTGGAAAGCCGACTGCTTAAATCAACAAGTCACTTCTCCATATGTGAATAGTTAACAAACAGTCCAACTAATTACTAACAACAAACTAAAAAGCAACATCCCATTTTTATCTTGTCAATAAAGTTCACTAGCTATTTCCTCCTGGCTTACGTGATGTGAAGTTCATTTGTTCCAATAAAATTTGTCATTAAAAAAAAGCAATAGGATTTATGAAGCGATTCTTAGAACTATTGTGCAATGTAATGTAATCAAATGATTATGACAAGTTGACCGAAACATCTTTTGATCAATTTAGGTATGAACGATAGAATGATTCATCTGGGGATACACATATGCTTTACCGCGTAGGAATAAAGTTTTACAGATATTGGGACTGTGTAAAATAATTCAAGAAATGCTGTTGAACCAAATCCATAACGAGGTCTTGACTACATACCGCTAGGACGAAACAACTAGCTGTCTTATGCTCTCCTATATTGAGTAGTTCTTCAGTACACAACAACCCCTAGTGATAAAGTTTTTTTGAATTAACCGCTTGAATAGGTGAAAATATAGTTATATTCAATCTACCTATCCAAGGCTAAACATGTCACCAGGTTGCGTAACCCAAGTCTCATCATTATCATTTCGAGTCATTGATCAAACAGTCGTACCACTTATAATGACATTTGATTAGAAAATTTTTCTTAAATCAATCTTAATAGTGATACTTTCGATACTGATTATATATTCATCGACCGGCAATTAAAGCATACAGCTACAGACATTATCACAGACTGAAATGTAAATCATCGTACCGTTTATAAATTCTTTAACCCGAGTGTGATAGTGAACCTTTTGGTCATTGGCAAATCAAAGATCGTGTATCTCAAAACCCTACGCTAATTGATTCTTAGTGAAATAAAACTTAATTAGCAAAGATATTACGGTAGACTTAAGACATGGTGACATTTATAACCGGATTGTTTCGTATGAGGATTAGTAGTTACTGGCCGAAGACGTAGTGTAACGTATAATTTATTCATGTTATATATACTTAGATTCGTATAATGGTTGTTAATCTTCTTTTTGTACGTATTATAGGCTATGCGTTTACGCCAGGAAACCACTAAACTTTACGCTTCATGTAATAATTGGCATTGGTTCGATAATCAAGCCATGCTTTGGCATCCATATGCTGAGGAAAATATGCAAGCTATCGACAAATGTTTCCACAAAGGTGATTTATGCGCATCTTGTGATATTAATCGACGACCATACACTGTTGAATTTCCAACAATGACACAAGTAAATCTGATCAGTATGCACAGGCGTCCAGTACTTCTTTTTCCAACAATCTTTACTGATTCAGAATCACCAAATTCATCCACACAAAGTAAGAGTGATGTCACAAAGTTTTTATAGTGTTGTATCCTGCGTCTTTATGTTTCCTTATATGACATTCTTGCATTTATGTGTCCTTGGTTCGCAAAATGTTCATTGCGCCTTAATTATTAATTTTTTCTTTAATCATATACCACTAACCATTCAGCCACTTCTCTATCTAATAAAGTTAGGCAAGCTTTCGAACAGTATTCAAATAAAATGATTCCTTATAATACGAAACTCGCAATGACCTATGGTTATTTGGTGTATCGTTGAATTAATAGATGATGATCATCTAACTTTGTTTTGACTATGCTTTACAGTGTTATAAATCTCCATATATCTCATCTGATTTGATATTCTCAAGTCATTTCGATTATATATATATATATATATATATATATATATATATATATATATATATATATATATACTAGGCTGCAGTCTGTTCTGTCCTGTCATACAGATGTGAAGCGACTACAGGGTTTTGATCACAGGTGTCTTCATAACATTGCTCACGTTTGGTAGAATCATCGTGTGAGCAATGTTGAGGTCATGTTAACGGTACTAGGCAAGACAGGCAAGTTGAATCATGAGGTTGCGAAGCTTATTCGATTGGAATGGCTTGGATATGTAATGTACATACCGAGCCACCGTCTACCTCGATGAGCCATGGTAGCAAAAGTTCCGTTAGGTTGGAAGGAGGCTCAGGGTGACCAGATAAAGACCTGGTTCTAGTCGATGGAGTCCTTTACTGTTGACCTGAGTCGTGTGGAGTAATGTAGACTGCCTGGTTCAGGATCATCGAGATGAAAGGATTCAGGTCGAGGACTGAATCTTGCTGACTTGGCCTGGAATCCGTCGAAATAGCGATGTATTCACTTCTTGAATATTCACACTTTCCCTTACCTTCAGATTGCTTGTTCTTTCACACTGCATTATCCACTTTGATATCACTCTTATTCTATCTACCTGTTCTTTATAAACTACTGTGAAGTGTGGCAACTTAAGTCGATGCACTTTGAGAGGGTTCTCCATTGACTTTGTTTTTCTCTCTGTGTATCCATCTTAAGTTTAAATGCCATCAGCCAGACGTCTTAAATTTGGACATACATTTAAGATGTAAAACTGAATATTAGCGTTTCGATACAGAGTTGAAAACTCTCACTGTTTTACTCAGTACTAGCATTGCATAATAACAAATGCGTTTCATTTTCATCTCTGCTCTAGTTTATACTACTATTATTATTATTTATCCCTTGGGTTCCGAGTAAAACATAGGGCTTCAGTAGCACGTCTCCATTGCACTCTGTTCTCTGCAGTCTTTTAAACCTAGCTCCACCACTGCCCACAAGCTTTCATTTCTTCCTCATACGATCTCCTCCATGTCACCCTGACCTCGGACGCCCAACTCGTCGTTTCCCACTTGGGTTCCATTCGAGGACCTGGCCTGACACATAACGTCCCCAAACCGTCTTCTCAGTGTATCCACAATCCATTCCAATTCATCTCCACTTTCTTCTTCTGCATATTTGTTGAGCGAAGGGTTCTTGGTTGGTTCGTTATCAGGCAGAGTGAGTTCCTTGTTGCTTATTCTTAGTATGCTGGCCATCCATCTGATCTTCAGTATCGAGTGAGCATAGGCGGTGGCAGCTGTCGATGATGTATATCTGTAGTTTGTTGGAAATGCTTTCCGTAATGCACCAAGTCTCTCACTCACCACACAGAAGCACTGACTTACTTCATAGAATTAGTGCTAAAAATGTGTATGTTGTTCACGCTTTATGCTGGTCGCAGTGCAGAGCATTCGATCTCTTCATTGATTTCAGAGTAATGAAAACCTGTCTTGTTGTCTTTCCGATCTTGACTTTGAAGTCCTCATCTGTGCTGCCTGTAGTTGAAACGATGCTGCGTAGGTGAGTGGGTAGGCGAAAGAGACAACTTCCTTTAGGTTTCTCCCGTTGATGGTGTTTGTTGTTGTGGTTGTTGGGTATCTTCATCACCTCTCTACGTTCACTTGAAGTCCCATCTTCGCTGCCTCTTCTAGTTTGTGCGACATTAGACATAAGTCATCATTGGCAAAATCCAAACCTCCTAGGGTCTTTTCGTCGACCCAGCGTATGCCCCTCTCCTCCCTCCTCACAGTTTGTTGCATTATCCAGTCGACCACAATCATAAAGATCATCGGTGATAGTAGCCTTGTCTTACTCCTGTGTTCACTTCAAAGGCGTCACTGAGCTTTCCATTATCAATCACTTGTTATGTAGCATCCTAGTATATCATAACACATAGGTGTTCAATAAGGTTGATAAATGTTGATGCTCCGCAGTGTTGAAGCAGTCTCCAAATTACTTCTCGGTTGACGCTGTAGAAGACATTTTCAAAATTGATGAAGTTTAGGTGAAGAGTTGACTGTCATTCTATACTCTGTTCTATGATAATGCGTAGCGTTGCAATTTGAGCCGCACATGATTTGTTTTTCCTGAATCCAGCCTGTTCCAGTCGTAGTTTTGAATGCAGAGCATCTTTTAACCTCTCTAGGATGATGCGGCTTTATATCTTACGTGGAGTGGACAGGAGCATGATTCCGCAGCAGTTCTTGCGAAGACTTAGGTCTCCCTTCTTTTGGAGTTTGACAAGATGTCCCTTCTTCCGATCGATGAAAAAGTGCCTTTCCTTCTTTCCTTGCAAACCTTCTGCAATAGCGGTGTGAGCGTGTTTGCTGTTGTCTCTGGGTCTGTTTTCAGATCTTCTAGGGGAATCCCATCTGGTCCTGCTGCTTTGCCAGATTTCAGCAACTTTATGGCATTCAGGACTCCACTCCTACTTCTGCTTGGGGGCTTAAGTCCACTGGTAGTTCTGTGGCTTGGCTGCTGGTGGTATTTCTGGACGAGTTGCAGTTGTTGTCGTTGTTGCTGGTGGTCGATTCAAGAGTTTTCTGCAGTGGTCAGCCTATTGTTTCCTTTGTTTCTCCTCTTTGGTAACTAGGTTTCATCCACTATCTCTCACTGGTTTCGTCTGCATTGATCTCTTCCTTCCCAGATAATAACCTGGTTATCTGATATAGTGTTATCAGGTCTCTCCAGCAGCCTGCAGCCTATTCTGCTTCACTTGCCAGTGTGTCATATAAGTATCTTTTGTCTTTTCGTGCACTCTTCTTCACTTCTTTGTCCAGTGTAGTGTTTTATAGGCTCTGTTCAGTTCGTGTTTTCGTTGTTCATCCCTGCACTGCTTCATATCCTGCTTCACCATCTTCCTGTCCCTCATCTATCAGCTTCCGTGTGTCCGTCGAGATCCATTCCTTGTCTTCTTTCTTCTTCCTTCCTAATATGACTGTGCAGGTTTCTTTCCACATCTCTTTCAAAGATTTCCAGTGTTCTTCCACACAGGTTTCTTCAGGGATGTTGCTCAATGTCTCGCATTTTGTTCTGATGACATCTGACATGATGTCCTTTGTAGCTTCGTCCTTCAGTTCAGTTTCTGTTCTGGGTGTTTGTTCAACTTGAACTGTTGTCTATCACTAACTTCTTTGAAGGCTTTCAACTTTCTTTTGAAGTTAGGTTCCTTGGACTAGATAGTGAGTGATCTGTACCTACATCTGCTCCTCTTAATATATCTTATCAAGGTAGTTCTACAGTAGGTTAGGTAAGCATGACTAGAAACAAAGTAACATGAAGTATTTGAACCTTTTGTCATACCTATTTCAATTGGAAACACCGCTTGAATTCATTCGAACAGCCGTTGCAGATGTATTGAGTCACTTTGTGGGACTTATGAGCTGTGCATCAAATGATTTGTTACCAACTTTATCTACTTAATTTCATTGTTAACCCATCTTCCTTCTTGTTCACGCTTGTTTATTTGTATCGCATCTGTGTAATAAATTATTCCATCGAAGAAACTAATGAAGGTGAACGTCTATTACTGTCATTCCTGTGATCTCATCATGAATACTTGTTGAGTTTATAGTAATAATAGTAGCATACTACTTTCATTACGTGTTTTACCATTATTGGATATTTTTTCGTTTCATTTATACCAGAGAGAGAGAGAGAGAGCATAGTTCGCCACCGCACAAAAATAAACTTAGTCGTTATTTTGTTTCCTCTTGTTAGCTTGAATCGATGTACAATCGTTGTAGATTCAGTGCTATTTAGTATTCTTTCTTCAGCTCTCAATGTTGCGGTATACAAACAAGTTTCTGTGTCTCAGAACTTCTTTTTACCGAACCACTATACTTTTTCTAATGTGTGTTCTTTTTTTTTATACTTCCTATCACCACATGTCCTAAAAAAATCAGTCGGTTCAATTCAAAACTTAATTTATTCACATATTGCATCATTGACATCTATAACTGTGAGTGTTTTTGAAGACGATTCTGTTGGTGATATTAAATCTTCAAAAATGAATTCTTAATGCCTAAACTCATAAAATCTGTGTGATAGAAATTCGAATTTATTTTTTAAATCTTTTTTTCGCCTTACATCTATTGCTTTTTCTGTTTACCTCAATCACACACCCAGGAGCTGTGCACCTAATTTCATACTTTTCTTTTTGGTTCAATGCTATCGTCTTCTTTGTGCTAGCCGAGTAAGTTGTGGAGTATCGTAATTCATGCCTTCAGTATCGAGATTAAGCGTCCGTCGTAATCTACTGTATCTCCAAGTCTCATCAGATTCGATTTTGTAGCAATTCAAAAGTGAAATGTTTTATTTTTTTTGTTCATGCCTTATTCTGTACACACTGAATGATAGAAAATGTAGTTATTCAATGTGAACTGTGTATTTTGACTACAAGACAATATAGACTGTTAGATTGTTGTTCATCATCATTATCACTAGTGTTCGTCATTCTAAAAATTGGATTCGTCCTATTTACCTGAGTGTTTGTGACAATCATTTCAATGTTGTCCTACTAATTGTAATGATATTTGTAATTTCCCGTTGCTATACAGTGCCGAAACACTCAAACTTTGTTTGCAGATGGGCTCCCATGTGTCGTGCCTCGATACTGCCGGATATTCATGATGTTATATTGATCTTGGTGACTCATTCTTACTTGCTACTCTTATATTAAACAGCTTATCTGGTTTTCTATTAGTGAACGATATAAATTTCACATATTTTGTTGAATAACTAACTCAAATTCTTTTTTGAATACTATGCTGAATAACATGCATTCAAATCATTGTTATTTACACCTTTATTTTGTTAAATATCATATTTTTAGTGTCAGCCTATGAATTGAATCTGATAAACACAGAAATACCTGAATGTTTAAATCCAATCGAACGTTCAAAGTTATGTCATGCATTGTTGAACCACTTTCGTGCATTCAAAAAGGCATCATCTTTAGGATCAGATAATTTGACAATAGAAAAGCTTCCCTTAGGTCAATCACCGCTTCCATCAGATTGTTTAAATGCTATGTTCAGATTGCTTCTACGTTTATGCTTTACAAGTCATGAGAATGCAGATGAAATAGCTGAAGCTGACTTCTTGACCACACTGTTTTCCTATCCACATGCTCAAGAGTTTTCGGCTGAATTTTCAGCTTTTGTCGGTGCTCTTATATCTGAAGTGAGTTTTGTTTGTAAGAAATTGGTGTAATTACCTGCCTGATACAATCTTCCCTACTCTCTCTCTCTCTCTTTCTGTATGTGTGTGTGAATTACTGTGCTATCGTTTATTTTATTATATTTGGTAATGAATGTCAACCGAGTCTAGGATTGTTATTTTTGCTCAACACTTTTGACTCAACATTAGGTTACTCTTCATCTTACCTAGTATTGAGATCACTTCTGAAGCTAGAACGATTGTCACAGTCCCATTAAACACGAAGCTGAGTTACTTTAATTGACTTATGCACAACTAATATCAGTGAGTTTTATTTCTTATTTTTTCGGTAGACAGATTCACACTTGATGATGTCTTTTAGGATATGAATCGACCTTAGTGGAAATCATATGAATGCTCTATCAGTCTTGATAAATTTATATTGTGCCTATATATATGAGCAACTGCCTGTCTTCTTTACCTTCAAGGTTTTTGATGATACTAATACAACTGAGCGAATAATGAAAGAAATTTTAATTAAAATGTCAAAATATGGTGTACCCAATGTGTTCATGGGGATTGATGCTGGTCCAAGAGCATGCCGAGATTTGTTTTACCTGTTGAGTTTGTGTGCCCCATTATTTGCAAAGGATCAACAGCGTGCTCTTAAACTTGCAACGGAAACTTTCAATTTATCCCTGCCTGAAACTAATGTGGAAAGTGAGTGTAATGTGGGTTTACAAATATCTTGAATACAATAAAACCACTCTGTTTATTTGATAAATATCTATCTTATATGTTCGGTATAGTCATTATCAATTTATCACGTAGTTGGAAGTTTTTAATGCCACTTCTTCATTCACTCTTCTCTGTGTGTCTCACTGACTGCGGTAACTGATAGACAGGTCAAGTGTGCCTTGTAGTTGTTTACCCCCAGCGAATGTTGTTAATTGAAGTAGTTGTTGTGTAAGAGAATAAAATGTGAGCGTAATGTGACATAATTCCATATTAAACCGTTTCATTTAGTGTGGTACATAGGGAGACAATGTTGTTTCCTGATTTCTGATTACATTTTGTTATCAAAAACAGAATCCAAATCAATGAACAGTTCTATTTCGAGACATATTGTTGTGACAAGATCACGCAACACCTTTACACCAATCATTCTGTTTTAGGTGTGCATTTAGACTATAATCTTTCAGAGGGATTTCGATTACACCTTCGTTGTAAAGCAAAAGCTATGGCTATTCGTATACAGAATCCTAAACTTTATGTATCATGCAATCTCTTGCTTAATTATTTCTTTTCCAACTTATCTTCATTCCCTTTGTTTCAGCTCAACCTTACTAGATCTAATTTCTCCCACTTTTTGTGTATAATATTCTTATTCTCCAACCCCATCTTATTAAAAATAAGCACTTGTAAGCTAGCTGTATTCGTCATTGTATGTCTGAAATTCTTTGTTATGTTAGATTGATTTACTATCTCATACATCATGCCAATTTTAACACCTGAAGAGTTCTCTTCCACACTCGTAAAATAATAATGGAAACGGGTTATCTGAACCCTCTTTTTTATTGATATTCCATCCAGTAGAAACTCAAACTCGAGGGTTGCCAAAGTATGCTTTATCGATTGATACAGTTGAAGCTTGAAATTCTTCATAATGATTTAACAACTATTCTCTTTAGTGCTGTTGTTTGTATTATCCAGTCATTGATTGGACCGAACTGATCGGTCTCTATTGACATACGGGCTCCTGCACGGGTGCCTCGATATTACCTGTGCTTTAATTATATATTATTGATGGATATCGAGGCGCCCACAGGAGCCCATATGGCAATAGAGACCGATCAATTCGGTCCAATCAACGACGGGATAATACAAACAACAACACGTCGCACAAGAAGTGACTATCGTGGCTCTGTGGTCTAGTGGATAACGCTCTGGCATTTGAAGCGATCGGTCCCGAAGTCAAATCCCAGTGGGGAGAACATCACTCACTGGGAGGTAGGTATATCCAGCTGACGTGTCCCAAATAGGACGGAACTTGCGTTCTGAATTCCACTGTTCATCAATAATTTTCCCTTTAGTGTTTACGTGCTTTTCACTTATAAATTTACGACTTTTTATTTGTAGATAAGATTTTTCCAAAATCTTATATTGTTGAAGAGACTACTAGTCCTGCTTCTGATCGACCTTCAATTATATCATTTCCACTTAGTAGTCGACAAAAGCATCTACTTACTCAATTGATGGATTTAATTATGTGTTCGAATTGGAAATCGAAATCGAACTATCATTTCAATGCTACAATTGGTGTCCCATATCTTGAAGTAAGTTGATAGAATATTGACTTATTCACATAGCCATAAAAATTGTTGAGGATATTATGATGTTCATCAAGTATTATAATATTCCAGAAGATTTGATCACTAAAATCATGATATTCATTTTTTGTTGACATAATATTAAGCATTTTAGTCGTTGTATGATACACACCGTTTTGTACGTCGTTTTCAATTCATGCTTATTTCATATGATTCATATGAACGGAGTGAAATAGCTCACTTCTTTGGAATAAATTAATTGAAAAGGTTTGTCATTGTTGTTATCCAGTAGTATATATGATTGACCTGAACGCTAATCCTTAGTTTATCACCACTCAGATGCTTACCATTCACAATTACTTCAAGGTAATTAAGTTTTCTTAAGCTGTATAGTGGTATCTTTTTGTCTTATATTCTCGTCATGGATACAAAAGAAAATTTCTTGATTTTCGTTTACTTGTGCCATATATGAAACTGTCGTGACATCCGATTGTCTATTCAGTATTTAGTGCACTGAGCTACAGTTCACTCTGTTCTGCTGTGTATGTTAGAGATAGAAGATACGAGAAGGTTTCAGGTGTACCATATTCTGTGTCGTCGTTCTACCACTTCAGTAACACAGAAGTCACCTGTCCAGTTTTAGGGAGGAGACGAAAGTTAATTGATGAGATTTCGAATCTTCATTGACGGAGGTGGCTGAGATATGCATTGCGTATGCCTAACCACCATCTGCTCCACCGATTGATTAGGTTGTTAGTCTTAGTCGACTGAAATGGCACGGAGATGTACTGCGCATACTGAGCCATCGCTTACTTCGATGTGCCATGCTAGGGAAGCGGGATTACGTTGGAAGAGGGTTCAGGATGACCGGACCAAGAAATAGCTCCAGTCGATGAACTTCCTGACTGTTGGTCCGAGCCATATCATTTAGGAAAGTGTAGAGTGCCTGGATGGAGTCCCCAAGACTATAGGAATCAGTGGTTGAGAACTCTTGGTGAATTGGCTGAAACTCTTCTAAACCTTGAATATTCGCATTAACCTTTGTCTTCTCTCACACAACTTTGTCTACTTTGGCGTCAGTCTTTTTCTGTCCACCTGTTTTTTGTGTGTACTACTGTGAAGTATGGCAACTTGAGCCGATGTATCTGTTCGCGAGGTTCTACGTTGATTTTGTCAATCATTCAAACAGTCATCGCTCAATGTTGTTTGTAGTCGGTTCCTTATAGAAAAAGGTTAGAGGTGGTCAGACTAAAGCGTAGCATCAGTTTATGGGGTCTTCGACTGCTGATCGGAGTTGTATATAAAAATGTAGGCTTCTCGGTTGCGATCCACTCATAGAAACCAGTGGTTGGAGACTAGGTAATATGGGTCACAATCGATGTCAGTGGTGCAGACGGGTCCAAACCTTATCTTTATCTTAGTCCTCGTACTTGATTTCATTGTTGTTTCATTCCATCCTGCTTCCTTTTGATTGATTTCGTCCATTGTTGACTGTTTTTTTCTTATTTCTCTATCTTTTATCTGAGCACATTCTCGCTTGATGTGTTGATGAGGTGTGAAAGCTTGAACCGTTACGTAGTACTGTCAGGCTCTACGCTGATATTGTCTATCTGTCTGGATAGGTTGGATTGTCTCAGCAATATTTAGCTGCTTACAAGTCATAATAATACGTTATCCGGAAAAATAATTAGAATAACTCCCTTATGATTATGCAGAAAGCGGCGTTCATGATATAAGATAAATAGCGCCTTAAAATACTATTGATTTTCTTACTTATTAAGCGCACTACATATTCTGCAATTATTTTGCTGAAATAAGAAAGTCTAATGCTTTTATTCTGTATGAACCTGGTCACCCGTTGCACATTTGTGCAGCAGGCGATGAGGCACACACGTACTATGGAGGGCTAGTGTTACTACCTGGCTTCCCAAACCTTGGTTGGTGGAGCGGAGCTTGAATCTATGACCCAATAGTGGATAAATCTCTATTCTTATTCATGATAATTTACAACTTTGAAAGATATGTTATTTTTTTCTTTCCATCTACAGGATATAGATGCACGTGGAGATGATGCTTTCACTTCACTGGCTACAGGTGGTCCAACATCAGTAACCACTATATCTCCAGCTTCGAGTACAACGGCTGTCACTTGGGTTAGCAATACTACAACTGGGCAGTCTGCAAGTACATGTGGTCGTCAAGACCAAGGATTAACAGAAAATGCTACAACTAATCCATCAACTCAAATCGATTCCGCTAAGCAACAGACTGGCTATGTAGTTCTTGGCAAGTTAGATGCTATGCGGTACTTGATTGATTTAGTCGGCTCTTACAAATCTGTTGCTGAATTTGTTGCAATGTATAAACACAAACATTCCACGGAACATGCTCCTATGGGAAAATTAAGCACTGATATATCAAAGTATTCTTTTCTGTCATATCTATTTAGTCATCAGTTAAATGATTCTGGAACAACAGAAGTTACAATGTCATTGTTGGAAAATTTAATTCTAATCAGCTGTGAATCCATTCAAAGTGTTATAATTGGTGAATTCAAGGCATCACTTGGTCGGATTGCAGCTAAATATCCACCACTTTCTTCATCTGAAGACATCAGACCAGAAGTTGTGCCATCCACGAAAAACAATCGAATTGCTTCTCATATGATGTTTTTAATGCGAATACTGTCATTACCGTCTCAACTGATCAATCGCGTTTTACGATTATTGTACAAGCGAAGAGTTCCAGCAGATATTGCGAAACTGATAGCTATAGTTGACTGCAACCTGCCTAACACACAATGTACAATCAGTATCATGTTACGTGCTTTAGAAAGTCTGACTTTAGTCGATCGTCAATACGCCAAATTTAATTCTCAACCTAAACGAACCGTGAATAACACTATTGGACGACAATTGAACACTGCATCAGCGACTAATGCCGAGTCTGGTGACGTAGAAATGAGATCTGTCAGTGTTACGCAAGCGAACTCAGTTAACATTGATTCTATGTCTCAAAGTGCTATGCACCATGGGTTAACATCATCCGATCAAAGAATAGATACTTCCATCGGTGGGAATTCAGTTCACATGTCAACCGTGATTCCTATAACGGAAACGGATCAAGCTGCAAATAGAGATTTTGAGACTGATTCTGACGATGACGACGATGATGAGGACGATAATGATGTTACTATGTTGGATCAACAAGAGTTTTCACACCCAGTACGAAGTGTAAATTCAGCATTTAATAGATCCAACTTGATTTTATCTAGCACGTCACAAGGTAGCACTTCCACCAGTCTTAATCGTGTTCTTAGTGACGTTTTGGCTGCACAGGCGGATATGGTTATCGGCTCTGATAATCAAAATGATAACCTGCGTCAACCTTGGCACAGCGTAGCCAACTCAGATCAAGAGGCTAGATCAGTCATATTTGTCTATGATGATGAAGACGAAGGAAGTTCCGGTCAGGGCGCTGAAGGTAATAATAGCCAAGAGGAGGATGATGATGATGAAGTTCTGGGAGAAGACGAAGATGAAGACGATGAAAATGATGATGATGACGATGACGACGAACAGGATGATGACGACGCTGAGAATGATCCTGATGTTGAAGGTGATGACGGTGATGTTGATATTAGTGGTGAAGATGAAGAGGTTGCGTTTGTACTCAGCAGAAGTCGCAGGCATGATAACCGAATTCGACCTTCTGGTCTATCTAGTCCACGTCGTCGTCGACTGGATGCTTCTATCTCTCTTACCGTTTCTACAAGTCGGGCTAACAATGACCGTGATCAGAATCCTGAACCTCATGATGATGATGATGGTAACGTGCATGATGAAACTGCTGATATCGTACTTCATGATGACACTCGTGTTGAGGATGATGGTAGCTTCGACGATGAGGATATCGATACCTATGGAAGGGATGATGACGATACTACTAGAGATGACGTGACGATCATCTTACCCGATGTGCCTGGCGTCATCTTCCGTCCCGAGAATCGTGGACCTCGTGGAAGCAATTCAGTCGCCGCTGTGGTTGAAGAAACACTGCGTCGAGTTGTCGCACCCCCTTTGAATGTTATCTCATCCAATGGTCTTAGAGATTTTGGGACGAATAGTTTATCAACTGTAAATGTCAACCAGTCAAGGGGTACTTCTGGCAACTGGGATTTACTTTTCCCAGGTTTTACAAGTTTAATAGCTGGTGATGGCCCTAGACACAGCGCTGTTGACACTGGCAACAGTTTACCGACGAGCACTACCATTTTTCGTTTTGGTCCCGAGACATCAGTATATGTAACTGGAAGTAGTAGTTCTAATCGTTTTGGTTCGTCAGGCGTGAATTTTGTTTCTTCCGTAGCAAATAGTCTATCTGGTCCTACTAGTGCTCAATCTCAAGTATTACCAGCTGCAACATTGGCTAATCAACATCCATTACTTCAGGTTTGTTTATTTTTCTCACTCATCGTTCCTTTTGCAAAAAAAATCTTAATAGTACTTTCTTTTAAATCAACGTAGCATGTAACATCGTGATTTAACAGAAAAGATGATCAAATTTACAGGGTATGGTCTCATTATTGACGTTACTACTGTGTAGAAACTACGATTGCTGTTAACTTGGCTTTCTCAGTCAAGTTTGAGTTTCTTGACACATTAGATGGCTTGTGGATGTCGACGAAAAGTTTTAGTTCATTATTATTTATTTACTTTGATTGTTTTAACTTTTAGGTAAAGCGCATATCAGAATTAGGTTTTATTAATCATCAGTATATATATGCATGTAATAAATTCTTCAGTTGTTTTTGAACTACATCCGGATGTGAATCATACTGTTTTTCTGAATATTTTCATGATTTTAGGCGCCAACTACTGTGGGGCCTAATGTAGGCCCAACGACAAATATTACAGCTACTGGAATGCCTAATCGTAATACAGTCTCCAGTAGTATTAATGGTTTACGTTTAACTCATCGCCCCCTAATTACGAATACTTTAGCGACGTCATCAGCAAATCGTGTATTTGCTGTTTTACCTCCGATACCTCAACACCATGTTCCACCGCATTATGGCACTCGTCATCGAATTGCAGGCGTGACTGGATCTCATCTTTCTTCAGGTGTTGGTGGTTTGCGTCATCATACATCATTCAATCGACTTTATAATACAGAACCTGAACCAGATAGTATTGGTTCATGTGGTTCCAGCAATTACTCTCGAAGCCAAACTGTCAGTGATGCCCGAGATAACCGATCGGGACCAGAAGCCAACGCGTTAGTATGGACAATGCTAACAAGTCTTGCTGAAGACCAACCGTCTCCTGTTAATTCTGCTTTGGCTGCTGCTATTTTTTCCCGATTTCTTTCACAAGGACAAAGCAGAAGTCAGCAAGGAATAATGGATGTCGGTTCTAGAGGGTTAAGTCATGGACAGCTAACTCCTTATGCAGGCTATGCCTTACCACCACATTATCGACGATGGACTAACCTTTCTCGAATGTTGTTTGGTCATGAAATTATGGATCTTATTCTACTTAGTCGTTATCATGTTTATAAAGTACTCGAGCAGAAACGTCGTGATACTTACATCCTGCGCATCGCAGGAAATGCAGTTGTCAGTTTACCTGTAGTTACTAGCTCACCAAATGAACCATCAGTTACGACTCCAGCACTCGCATCCAATAGTAAACCTACTACTGAGTCTACTGAAACTTCTGTGACGTTCACCACTCCACTCGTTACTTGCGTGTTAACTTCAGAAAATCCTAGTAATAACCAAGACCCTTCAGCAGAATCAGTTGTTACAACAGATGATGCAACTCTTCAGGTGCAATTAAATTCGGACATTACATGTGCTAGTGAGACTTCTGAAATGACGACAAATTGTGAGATGCCTAGTGCATCTGATATGGGTGAGTCTAGTTTTCCATATGATGATATTTGAATTATTGGATTAGGGTGTGTTCTCATTCAAAAATCAGTTTTCTGTTCGCTAAAAAAGATTATTTACTAAAATAGATTGGCTTGATAAAATTAGTCTACCTCAACCACAATAGTTGTAAATTTGTAGTTTCATTAATCGCATGACTTCAGACTTCATCAATGCCACGTGAGCCAATTGGTTATTGAGTCCTTATTTTTACTGGCGGATTTCTTAGTTAAATTTTAGCTATGGTGTGACCATTTTTAAGTGTATCAACAGGACATTTCTATGTAATAGTTTTTTTTACGCGGATTGTCAAGCATGAGATAACCGATATATAAACATTATCCGTGAACTGTAAATCAGGAAACGTGAACAGATCCAATCATAAATGCATTACTAAAGAAGTCACGCTTCGTCACCTGTGGTTCATATGTAACAACACTTTTTCCTAGCTATATTCCTCGAAAGGACGACGGTCTCCATTTTCTCGATCAAAATACCATGCAACAACATTAAAAACGGTTTGTCGTCTGTGGAGCTCTGCAACTCATTAATTAGCTTAGGCTCTTGACTTTCCACCTGTGAGTTAAGTAGTAAAACTGCACTGATTCTGTTGGGGTTTCGGAGACCTGGTCATCATCATAGGATAAGTATTGTTCATTTCTCAATCAAAAACACGACCGTGATCACTAAGTTACGCATATACAGTCATCAGATGTTTTTTGGAGTGCTTGTATCGAGTACTCAACTGATCGCTGCTACATTGACGTCGGTGACCGGGTATGCATGTTACTATGACCCAACGAGCTACATTGATAGGAACTGTTGTTCCTTGAGGTCCTATCATGCCAGAAAGGTCCGTTCGATAGTGGTAAGAAGAAAAGCAGCTACTGTTATTGTGTAAATTGCTACTCTCTGACGGTATTCTGACGATGAAGTCGTACTGCTGCTAGCTGGATGGGGGTGTGACAGCAAAATCAAACTGATGGTGGGTTCCCGGTGGGAACGGGAAGGGTTATAAAAAGGTTGCCTCTCAGAATGCTACACTCCTCCCTGCCTTACAGTTTTCCGTTACCAGTGGCCTGATTTTTACCATCCGACATTAGAACATTCCTCGAAAAGGGAAGTGCCAACCTGTTCAGTACAAAAGATCCAATCATCAAAAATAACGTTTCCTCCTTACTCTTGTCACGTCCTTTGTCTTCCCCCTTCTAACATCAGTGTTAGGCCTCATACAACTTCCTTGACCTATCAATCTCCAAGCATTACAAAACGAAACACTACTAGTTTCCTATGACCCTGTCGTCGATTTCATACCGCACACATTAGGTGAGGTTGACAAGTGGAAAATCAAATGACTTTAAACGAATAGCCCTACTACTTATGACTAATCGTTCTCGGCGTTGCTCACTTTTCCATCGTTTTCAATTTCTACCCTTTACGATTACTCAAATCAAGTATTCATACATCATGTAGTATAAATTCCTTTTTTGAACTAATATAAGCTAGATGTAAAGTAATCTAGCATCCCATTTTAATTTTTAACTCTTGAATTGTTAATACCATTTCAGCTGCTCAGAGCGAATCTGGACCAACTACAGGTGCAGAGAATATCTCCAACCTTGCAGCATCTAGTGCACCAACGAGACCACTTGTATTGACTGATGAAGAAACTATCCAATCATTGGTTGAAGGTGGAATGGATCCATCATTTTTAGATGCTCTACCTGAAGAAATGAGGCAAGAAGTAATCGCTGATCATCGTTATGCGAGACAAGTGCAACAGCAGATTAATTCAATGTCTTTACCAGAGCATATTAATTCAGAATGGTTGACTGGACTTCCACCACATATTCAAGAAGAAGTAACTTTTTAATTTTTTACAGTATATGTAATCGTATTGATGCGTTATTGGTGGGTAGCCAAGTGTTTTGCCTTCAATATCGTTATGGAACTTAACATTACTTGTGTAATGGCCAGTGTTGTGAACTGCATCTTGCATTAGTATATGAAATACAAAACAACAAGATGAAGGACAGACAAAACAGTAGCACTGCATATTAACCACTGCAATTACCTATTTTCTTTCATCACTAACATTCTCCCACCATCTGTCTTAGTCATTACTGCTCAACTAACTTTAAGGTATTATGTTTGCTCTCATTGGTTATCAGTTGAAGATAATTTTTCATATTCAAACAAATAGGTGAATGAGAAAAAATATTTTTTTGTCATCAGCTTACTGCTCAGGTTGTGTGACTTATGTTATCTGTAATTAAGTTAGGTTAGGGGGAGCAAGATGCCTCAAGCAACAGTGTGACCTTTTTATACAGTATCTTTATTTCTTCTAAAGATAGATGCATATAAGTGATAGCGTCGAAATGTAACAGTCGATGAGTCGAAACCAAATTTCTCAGGGAAATTTTTATCGAAATAAATGGTCATTGAAAAGGATAGTATTGAATTCGTAGCGACAGATGATCGTAATTAAAGTACACATAACTTCCAATTACCTATATGTGTATTTAGTATTATTGCTTGTATTATACCGTCGTTCATTGGACCGAATTGATCGGTCTCTATTGGCATATGGACTCCTGTGTGGGTGCCTCGATATTACCTGTGTTTCAATTATAGTACTGACGAATAGTGGCTAACAATGGAATCCACGATGCTCATTTCGTCCTATTTGGGACACGTCAGCTAGATGTACCTACCTCCTAGTGAGTGATGTTCTCCCCACTGGGATTTGACTTCAGGACCGATCGCTTCAAATGCCAGAGCGTCATCCACTAGACCACAGAGCCAAGATAGTCACTTCTTGTGTGACGGGTATAGTTTTTAGTGTTGTTGTTTGTATTATCCCGTCGTTGGTTGGACCGAATCCTTGATTCCACTGCTAGCCACTATCCATCAATACCATGTATTTATTTCCCAGTGTGTATGTATGGATAAGTCCAGTCAAACAATGTCTGAGAAGTAGTACTTTATTTAAGTAAATTGTATTTATTTAATGAGTACAGTGAATGAATGAATCTGATGAGTTTTTTTAAATCGAAATGAGGTGATTGGGAGATGTGTGCAACTAGCATAATACAGCTATTCCATCAATTATCTGTCCTAAACATCAGTATTCGTAAACCTACAAGCATTAATCTGATTTTTCAGTCTGCACATACATATTTCACACATCTAAACTTCAATCAATATCCTTTGGTTTGAGTAGTTATTCTTTGACATTTAACCTCTCATGATGCATAGGGTTTACAACCGGAATCACAAAGCTTTACATGCATTGTGAACTGGTATAACTGTGACTAGACAATACAGTATTACTTTTACAAATTTTCTGTTGCCGACTGTGGTAATGAAAATACATATTTCATACTATCCACCAAGTTGTGTATTGTAATCATTGTCCACATGCTTCTACCGATCATAAAACCATTATGGTTACTAGCTTGATATGAAATACCTGAAAGCTTGAAGTGTTTTTGTAAATTAACTCAAAGAATAATCAACTTCACTGTTCATATCTGTGACCATTAACTGATTTTATTTCAGGTCTTGGCACAATTTCGACAAGAACAGCAACAACGCCAGCCTTCTGCCCAACCTGCAGCTGAATCGGGTGATAGTAATCCAAGTGAACAGTCTGCTCAACCTGCATCTGTCCCAAGTGCTACTGATAGTAATACAGCCTTTCTCGTTTCTTTGCCACCTTCAGTACTTCGTGAAGTGTTAGCAGATATGGAGGAGTCGCAGTTTGAAACTCTCCCACAATACTTAGTCGTTGAAGCGCACAGACTACGTCGTGAACACGAAGAACGTTTTGCGCGTGCAGTTCGAAGTGGCATTTTATCCCATTCGAATGACTCAAGACCTGATCGTGAGCACTTTTTCTGTAAACCTGTCAAAGTTAGCGACTGATGTTAGTTTTCTAGCCTAGAAGGAGTCAAGTATAACTATGTTGAGCTTGAAATTTCGCTACGAATGCCTGTAGATTCCATTCCTAATCATGTTGTATACATTTTAGTTCACTGTGTTCATGTGGAACAAGAGGAAGAAATATAACAGAAATGTCATTCGCTCCAGCTGTGTAGCATACATAACAACGTTTGAAGTCACAAAGTTGCGGTTTCTTCTTTCTTGCCCATATAAACCTAATAAACCAACAGAATTTTCCTTCATTCAACTGCTCTTCGAAATAGTCTTATCACATCTCACCTGTGTGTCAGTGGTTTAAGGGGTGACTATCAACCATTGGGTCATGGGTTTGAACCCCGCTCTATTTGCTGAAGTTTAGACACCCAGGTAGTATCACTAGCTCTCACATAATATGTGTGGGTTATTACCTGCAGCAAGCACGTGCACAAGGTGGCTGAGTGCATTCACAAAATCGGACGCGTTATTACTATGATATACAGTGTTTTAAGATGACATTACTAATTCAGTATTTCTCCGTCATACATGAATGGACTTTATTCGACCCCTTTAACAGTTATGTATTGCATCCAGTGTACGCAAGTAATTATATAGAGACAGCAATAGTTTTATTTATATAGTATGGTTGAATCTTCCTTACTCGTATGACTGAAGCCTAAAAACGTGGGAACTGCTGTCTTTAGTGTTGTGCTTCCTCTTTCTAATAAGCAAGTAAACCTAATGACGCCGTCGGTGCTCTAGTTAGGTCTAAGTTTTGTATTCTATTGTTTCTCGTCTCTATACTTCTACCTGGATATATGGAATTTGAGTGTTCAACGCTGTAGATAACCATGAATAGATTACTGACAACCTTGAAAATTCTTATTTAGGATTCAGAAGTATACACTAGTTTCTTGTTCTGCTTACTATTACTATTGTACCACAGATCATTAGGCTAGAATGGATTTAAGAGGTCGACAACTCTGACTCTATTAATGAACATGATATTTCGAGTAAGTCAGTAATAATATGAGGAGTGAGTGTATCTGACTTGTATTATTTAAGTTTACGAATCAACTACTTCTGTTATCATGTGAGTTGAGTTTTGGTAATGAATGGTTGGAAGCAGCAGTTAGTGATTTTCTTCCAGATTGTTTTAACTAATATCTAACGTTAGTGCTAGCTATAGGAATTATGCCGTATGCCTTGCCTACTATGGACATTCTCTTAGGCTGAAAGTTTTTGGGAAGAAGCCGTATATCGCGGGTCTACCAACTCCATCATACTCATAAACAATGCCGGATAGTAAACTTTTAATCCTTCGACTTTCCATTGGAAGTGAAAATGGTGCACATGTGGTCTAATTAGTGCTAGTAAACACTAGACAGATAAAGATAAAATCAACGTAGAACCTCACACACACGTACATCGGTTCAAGCTGCCACACTTCATAGTAGTGTACAAATAACAACGGGACAAGAAAGACATATCAAAGTTGAAAAAGGTGTGTCGGAAGAGGGAAAATTTAAAAATTAAGGTTGATCAAAGCATTTAAGCTTTGGAAAATGTCAAAGACTGCCATCGTGATTGATTTCCAGCAGTGTCACCAAGAGTCCCCAACGAGACAGTCTACACCCTGCATGGCTCATACCAACAGTCATAGACTTCATAGACTGATGTGACGTCTTGGCTTGAGTACTCTGAGTCCTCTTCCAATCCAGTCCGACTTCAGCTAACATTACAGATCGAGGTAGACGATGGCTTGGCATGCACAACTTGTGTTCATCAAGGCTGACAATTCACAACCTCACCTACTGAATTGGCTTCTTTGTCTAGTACCTTTCGCATGGCGTCGACATTGCTAATATAGTGATTCCGCCATGCATACGTGAGCAGTGCTGTGAAGACACCTATGGTCCAAAACTTGTAGTTTCTTCATATCTTCTGCTTTCAGTGGCCATGTCTCACAGCTTAATAATTGGACACAACAAACTGTAAAGCAGCATACTTGTCCTGACCAGTCGACCCCACAGATGACGCAAGTTGTCGAATGCCAAACATGCTTTCTACGTCCGATCTGAGATCTCGTCAGCAAGTAACCCGTTTGCTCTGATCCAACTCCCCAAGCTTCACTAGGGAAATCTGTAGAGCAGTTACCAGGACAAATTCATTGCTACCTGTTCTGATAATTAAATTTATCATCGGAATGCAGTACAATCATCTTGATAACAATAGTGAATCATAAATAACTCTTTTACTAGATCATATCAAACAAGTGTGTGTATGTGTGTGTGTGTGTGTGTGATAAAAAGGCTAGTCTGAAGCGGTCTTAGTTTGAAAATAGTTGTCTAGATATCTTTAAGGCGCTTAACAGTTTGACGTACATGATATATAACCATAACAGTAATATTCAGCTTCTGAATATGCAATAAACGAAGTATGTAGTGAATTGTCATTCCTTTGAAGTTTAGACTTATTGACTTTCTTAAGATAGGATTCGACAGTTTTTATCTCGAAAAGATTTCTTTTTACAGATATTTGGCGTAATTTCACTACTGCCTCTGGATTAATCGGTGGACATGGACGTTGGGATGTTCGATTTCATTCGATTAATCAATTTCTTCGGCATCTTAATACTCTCGAAGGTCCATTAAATTTGAATAATTCATTAGCTGTACGTTCAATGTCTGGTTTCTGTAGTCGTGAACTAGTAGATCATGAAGGATTGACGTGTATTGTTGTACTTCTTGTAGCTAGTTCAACATGCTCTCATCAAAGAACAAATATAGTACCAACAATAAAGAAAGTAAGTGATATACACTTTTCTTGCCTCTGTTCATGTTATTTTACTCAGATTTTAACTTTTGGTTTAGGTCTAGTCACCGTATATCCATCTTCTCACAGCTCCTCACGGTTTGCTGCATGACCAAGTCGACCACAAACGGAAAGATGGTCGGTGATAGTAGGCGGTAGCCTTGTCTTACTCCTGTGTTCACTTCAAAGACGTCACTGAGCTTTCCATTGTCAACCACTTGGCATGTGGTGTCTTCATATAGCTGTTGAATGAGGTTGATAAAGGTTTGTGGCACTCAAACCGTAGTGTTGAAGCAGCAGTTGGGAATATCCTTGTGCTTATACACACTGCCTCCAATCACCAAATCGTTGAATGCGCACAAATCTGCAAACGGTTCTCCATTCTCATTTCACCGAGTGCTTCTTGACTCGCGATGAGTTCTCTTCTTGTGTTGTCCGCTCCTCGCAGTTTGGCATTCATGTCAGCCCACCCATTAGAATTTTGATGTGGCCACCTAGATGGAGTCTTGTCCATTACTGATTGCAGTTGTCTATAGAATTCCTCCTTCTTCTCTTCATCTGCATTATTTATAGGTGCGTAGCGTAAACATTATGTGGTTGTAACTTTCTTCCATTTTGATTTGAATCTTGCTGTCATGGTTCTGATCCTTGAAGTGATTGGTTCCCAGTGCTTGAGAGAGAGCCTCGATGCTGTTGGGAGAGGGACATCATGATAGCCACTCTCTAACTCAGTGTGCTTGTGGTTTTCCTCTAGGTGACAACAACGTAGTTGATTAATGACTCTCCAATTGACAGTTTGGAGAGTCCACTTCCATTCCATCTGCTGATTCCTAGCACTTCTATGCCACATCTCATCTCTTTTGCAATCTGGGCAGCCTTGCTAGGTTCAAACATTGTGCGGACATTCCATGTCCCCATGTTTACTTTCGCTTTGATCGAGAGAGAGAAAACACATCGGCCAATTGACTTCCCGAAGGTTTTCACCAACTGGCTTCATTTCGTCTCTCCGATTCCAGCAAGTAATAAGTTTAGTTTTATGCTTTATATTTTGTTTATGCTTTCAAGTTTCTTTAGCGGTTAAATTGGTTTTCTGGCGTAGGGTTGGTAGCCGTATGACTCACCTTCCCTCTTTATCCGTTCTTAGGACCGGCTAGTAACTAGTGAACTAGTTACCTAGGCGAGGTGAATATTCCTTATACTTATGACGATGTCTATCACTGAAAGGCGTGCCGAGTAAGTGCATCACCTTATTAAAGTCTCTGTACTCGAACACTTGTGAACGTGTTAGAGCCTATGGTGAGATGTCCGGGGAGCTGTACTCGTCGAGCGGTGTCCGTCAAGGATGCCCACTGTCTCCATTCTTAGTCAATTTTATTATAGATTTCCTTATAGAGGTCTCGCTGTCGTCACCTAACTTCACAGAGGTTGACCCAGTCGCAGCAGAATTTTCGTTAGACCTAGAATACTCAGATGATATAGCCTTGTTAGGTGAGGATGCTTACAAGATGCAGTCTTGTGAACACTTTTTGTGGCAATTTGAGAATGCTTAGGGTGCGTTTTTCACCACCCAAATGCCAAGTGTTGCTCCAGGATTAGTCTTCAACGGTGCCCCACCGCGGCTAACAATAAAGAGTGTAGTGGTTGAGTGTGTAAACCACTTCACTTACCTGGAAAGTAGGATCAACCCTGTTGCGTTGATCGGTGGCCGATGAAATCTCTGCAAGGATACAAAAGGCTCAGCCGGCTTTTGCCAACTTACACCACCTACGGCGCCCCCATGATATCCGATTGTCTATTAAAGGTCGCGTGTACTACACAGCAGTCCGCTCTGTTCTACTCCGTGGTTGTGAAACATGACCATTGCAAGTGGAAGACATGAGAAGGCTGGCTTCAAGTGTTTGACCACCGTTGCCTTCATAGTATAAGCCGTATTCCATGGTGTCACCACGTGAGTAACGCAGAAATCAAATGTAGAATTTTAGGGAGAAAAAGTGGTAAGTCAGTTGACACGGTTGTGAACCTTCATGGACTGAGATGGCTGACTGGAACATGTGTTACGTCTATCTAGTCGCCATCTGCCTCGTCACACAATGTTGGCCGGAGTAGGTTCAGGTTGGAAAAAGGCTCTAGGCTGAAAGACTGAAACATGGCATCAATGTGTATGAAATGTTTGAGTGTCGGTTTGAGCCATGTGGGCCAATGTAGACTATCTCGTTGAGGTCCGTGAGAGAAGAGAAACCAGTGATTGGATACTGAGTCTAGGTGATATGACTGAGAAGCGCTGTCAGTGACGCAGATGTATACACACATTATCCTCATGTTAAATACGCTATACGGAATGTAACCATTTTCTTATTCTTCCTTTCTCTCATTTGCTACTTTATATTTCTTTTGACTAATTTTTCTTTTCTTCATCTTGCGCGCCTCACTGCCTTTTTGCTTGATGTAGTGATATGAGTTGTGGCAAGTTGGACCGTTACACAGTAATACCCGATCGGTCCTATGTTGATGATGTTGCGCAACTGGATACAACTCGGGGTCAAAAGGTTAAACAAGAATCAATTCATTATTCGCTTTTTAATTTTTCAACTAGCAAGTGAAAACCAATTCAAGGTCAAATGAAAATTTACTTTCCACAGTGTTTGATGCCGAGTACAACGAAAATGTCTGTATTTGCAGACATCAGAACGATTACTGCACCGGGGGGCGCAAATTTGTGGAGTAGAAATAAGTTTTCCTTCCTGGCTCGTAAGAATATGGTGGAGAATGATTGATTGATTTTTCAGTAATTATGAACCTGACGCTATCTCCCAACAGACTTTATGATGAATAATGTTTTAATTTTATGTGTGAAGTTCCGTAGATATAATCCTTAACAATGGAAACAAATTTCATTCCCAGCGTATATTTGTGAACTGAACGATGCGTATGATATTGTTCGTTGTAAGGCCACAGTGATTACGAATCGACAATCAGTTGGCCAACTTCAAAATGGAACCGATAATTAAGAATATGTCATTTGATTTTCAGTGTCGCAGTCAGCTACACCACCATTGAGCTTTTCGGGCCGCGACTGATTTCCTGTGCAACACTGATTAGTCATTAGAGTGCAACCAATCTTATACCATGTAGTCTTGAGTACTGACCGAATCCTATCAGTCATTTTGCAATGTGACCACCAAGCTATAAGGGTCACCACCGCAGTTTACTTTGATATATTTTGGTTGGAGGCAATCGGTAGGAAGTCCTGGACATAGGTTTCGTGATAAATTATCTATGGAATTCGGCCTGCACTCAGTACTCGACAATCTGAGACTGGTTACCCCTCAGTGATCGGTCAATCAATGTATCTAGTCCAGTCCTGCGGGATGTTAGTCGCGACCCGGATAGCTCAATGGTAATATCGCTTACTGCGACTCTGGGTGACACGGGTTTGAATTTCAGAGGGGACATCACTTCCCTCGAGGTTGCAGATACCCGTTCGTAACGAAAGCCAACAAACACGAAACCTAGGTCAAGCAAGGCTTCCTGGCAATCACCTCCAATCAATTGGCATCCATTGAAGTATGCTGCGATGCTGAACCTCTAGTCGGGTGGCCACACTGCTAAATGGTCGATAAAATTCGGTCAGGACTTGACAACATGAGATTGGTTGCTCTCAAGTGATCAATCAATATAAATTTATCTCTAGATGAGACTATCTTCGAACACTTGAACATTTTGTGTTCATTCTTTGGAAAATTTTGTTTTAGTTACCTGTATGCAAAAATGATCATCGAATAACAGGTTCACTTTTTTTGTTCATGATGTTTCAAAGTTATATGCTAGTTAACAGTACAGTTCGAACTCTCTAGTCAGATAAATGTTAGTCACGATATAATTGGTCTATTTTCTTTTAAGTCATTGCTATACCTGTTGTAGGTTCTTTCTGTTAACACATTATAGTTAAAGCAGTATACAATTTTTAAAATATTTCAATCACTTTCAAATATATTGTGATAATTCTTTGTATGACTGATGTTTTCGTTTGAATCTGATAGATTAGTTTCTCATGCCAACTTTATTTTTCAGGTTCTGCGTAATCTATCGTGTCATTCTAGTACAAGAAACTGGATTGTCAATACACTGATATCCTTGTTCAACGGATTGTCTGAAAAGCCGCCTAACTTACAATCGAGTGTTTCCGGATCTTCAGCATGTGTAGATGATTATGTGCCTGTTGCTAGTTCAAGTTCACGTGGTCTACTTTTTCCAGGCATTACTTCATATGAGAGTGAATTAGAATATTCACCCAAATCTGGATCTAACAACACATTGTTCCAAACTGGATTCGAAGCTGCTTTAGGTTGTTGGGTTAGAATTTTTCACCCAGTTTCTCAAAGCTTAAGTACTTCATCTAACCACTTACAAAATGATGTACACACTGGGAGACCTACCCATTGTAAAGACCCTAATTCAGTTGTACCTGTCCGATATATTATACACCCACAAGGAGCGGTTCATGTAGCAGGTGTTCTTCTTGAAACATTGAATGAACTAACTCGTGCGTTCCCATCACATTTTTATCCATCAGAGGTCTCTCACGCATCAGAAGTAGTTGGAGACTCGAAATTATCTTCTTCTGAGACCTCCCAGACCACTGACAGTAAGTGCACCTTTTAGTTTACTATTGTCGATAGTCTTCATCACACGCTATTTAATTCTCTCCTTCAGACTTCGAACATTTTCTAACTATGTGAACTTGGCAACTTTGTTTTGTTTCGTACAACAAACTATTTACCCACCAGGGTATTAAACCATTGTTTTTTCGAACTTGGGGGTTTGTGGAGACTTAAAGATATTTTAAGTTGGTTTTCATCACGAACTGACATCAGTTGGAGGAACACAGGAGCACTGGACAGCTGTTTCTTCCCACTAGCATGGGACTCTTCAGCAGTGCGCACCCGCAATCTTCAGGGGCCGTGGCCAGCACGTTACCATTGCATGGATTGTCGTACATGTCGTTTTTGATACAGGATCGCACTGCCTTGCGTTTACTACCTGTAGTGGAAGAAAGTCCTCTGATAAAGCAGTATAAATCCACTGCTCACATGCATCTACAGAATTTCGATGTAAAGCCATAAAGAAATATGGTTGGATATCTATTATTAGTAGTAATAGCACTAATGTATAAACTTCTCATTGCACATGAATTTCATCCAATTCATTTTCGTTTCATCGTAGCATTTTCTTTCTTCTTCGATTTTTTTAATGTGTCATTTTGACTTTAAACAACTTGTACCAAGGCATTGTGATGATAAGTTTTTTTGTAATTAGTTCTCGACCATTGGTATGGATGCTACTGCTAAGTGTAGCAACTTGAACGGACTCACCTCCATATCAGTTTCTACATTGGTTTGTCTGTCTATTTCTAAAAGATGGATACATAAATGAATGAAAGTAGCGTACTGTCTACATCTTTCAGTTTACAATGTTTGTTGATAACTACTATAAAATTGCTTCTTTTTTATATGAAAAAAAACAAACAACAGTTGCCTCCACATCATTCTGGGATATATTCAGTCGACTTTCCCAGTCTTATATGACAGCGATCACTAGTGGATCTACAACACGTTGTGTAGTTCGACGAACAAGAATTCCCTCGAGAAAAAGACCAATTTCAACTTCTGACAAACAAACAAATGATCTACCAATGGAATCAACATCGTCGAAAACGTTCACTAATTTATGTCCTACTGCTCACTTACCTGCTGAAACACCACATTCAGGTAGGTGGACTGAATATTTCGCCTAAATAAGTCAGTGATGAATTATGGTTTTACTGATAGATTTATGCGTTGGTAGCACACCTTCGATCTATTTTGATATCAGTCTTTTTTTGTTCACTTGTTATTACTTGTGGCAACTTGAAATGATGTACTTCTTTGCGAGGTTCTACACTGATTTTGTTGCATGACACTATGTGGATCGTTTATTGTATATATTTTACAAACTGACATGTATGATAATAGAATCTAGCAGATAGTACACGACTTTTGTAACTTGTAGTGAAGGGTAAATCCTATCTCACAATGGCTAGTTACATTCATATTTAGGAGTTATAAAAACTGATGCATTTATTCCTAAGATAATACCCAATGTTAGCATAAGCTTCCAAACATATTGTAGTATCTTAGCCCGTATAAACGCAGATTTATCAACATATTCAGCTCAAGAAGCATTTGTGTTGTACTTTTCCTCGCTAAATGTGTACTTCCAAATTCAATCCAGTCGCTTTCTTTGTCATTCCAGATATCATTGAGCTAAAGTGGTTGCGATTGGATTTTAATTTATAGCCAAATGGAGAAGGCAATCAAACTAATCATAGACTAGCAACTCAGCATTCACAGTTTTTATCTAATTGGTTGGTCTGGAGGAATTATTTTCAACCAGTGCGTCACGGGTTCGAAACCTCTTACTGAGGTTTATTTAGGCTACCAGGCAGTATCATTAACCTTCTCAAAATACGTATCATTCACTGCCTCTAGCACGAATATGCACAAGGTTACTGTGTGCATTTCGGCGTTTCTGAGACTCACTCTGATCGACTGTTATAATAATATATTTCTGTTGCCCAATGTTTAATAAATATGGCCAATCTCTTTGATCACTTTAAGTCTCTTGCATGTCATCAAGAGTCTTCAACAAGTGTTTCCTTGAGCCCCAGGAACCCCAACCAAGCTGTCTGTAAGACTCAAACTAACAGTAAGGAACTTCATTGACTGGTGCCAAGTCTTGGTCTGATCACCCTGAGTCTTCTTCGAACCTAATCCATATTCTTCTAGCATGACGCGCCGAAGTAGGCGGTTAGTCGGCGTATGCATTACTACGTCCAACCCATCTCAATCCATCAAGGTTCATAACCTTTAGCCTGAAGAAACTTACTGTGGACAGGATGCTTGTAACTCTTATTACATAATACGCTCCAAATATCCTTTTAAATTTGCTTTTGTGATTGCTCTCTGCTTCATGTTCACATTTCACTTGACTGCTAATACTTTTACTGTTTGTTTGCATTGGTATTACTTCTTGTATCTTCTTATCTTTACTAAATTTAGCTGTAACAGCAGACAGTTTCGAAAGTGAATCTACAAAAGAAGTAAGTGATGCTAGACAAAATGTTTCAAAGTCAACAACCAACTGTTTCACCGCTTTATCTGAATTACTTTGTCATCAACTGTTACATGATCGTCCAGTGAATCAAGAACGCCTGATAACAATTCTTGCTGGAATAGTGAAAGATTTTCTGCTTAGCCGATCACATTCCGGTTTATCGGTTGCACAGGCTTCAACTCATCCAACCAGTCTAGTCACACCTACCACTGTCTTGGATAATTCATCAAATCAACAGGTATGTAAATGTTGTTTATTATCCAATCACTAATTCCTCTAAGTAATAATACGGAACTGCATGTTGTTATCTATTTTCAGACACTAATTGTAAGTTCTTTATCTAGAGTTCATTACACTGTGCACGTAGGTTAAAAGAAATTTCCAACATCCTAGCGTAGCGATAATGTTAAACAATCGTTTAAATGATATGCCGGAGATTTTCACTTCATTCATTTTTGCTTACAAATGCTCTAAAATGAGTTACATTTCTTCAATATCATTGTGTTTTTGCGCGAAATACTTACGTTATTCATGCCTTATAAGATGAATTTACGAGCATCCCCGCCTAAATCTTATCATCCTTTCCGTACCCTTCATTGTTTTTGTATAAAAGTCTTGTGATACCCATTGCATGATTCAATAAACCGAGTCAGTAAAGCAAATCTACTTTAGTTTATTTCATTAAGACTGTTAAGTAATTGGGTACATTCCACAAACTACCAAGTAACATGTATTACTATTATTTATTTCTCTTGGGTTCCTAGTGGAAAATAGGACTTTAGTAGCGCATCGCCATTTCACTCTTTTCTCTGCAGTCTTTTGAACCTAGCTCCACGATTGCCCACAAGCTTTCATTTCTTCCTCACACCACCTCCTCCCTCTCACCCTCGGCTCGGATGCCCAACTCGTCGTTTCCTCTTTGGATTCTACTCTAGGGCCTGGCCTGGTGTGTGATGTCCCCGAATGGTTTTCGCAGTGTATGTCCAATCCAATCCATCTCCAATTCCTTCTGCACATTAGTTTGGCGATAGGTCATTGGTTGGTTTGTTGCCAGGCCAGAGTTCCTTGTTGCTTATTCTTATTATTCTGGCCATCTGATCTTCAGTGTCGAGTGAGCGTAGGCGGCGGTAGCTGTTGATAATGTATGTCTGCAGTTTGTTGGAAATGCTTTTCATAACGCGCCAATTCTCTCAACCACCATACAGAAGCGCTGACTTACTTGACAGAATTAGTGTTGAAAATCCCGATCTTGTTGTTTGTGCCAAGTGGAGTGCATTAGATCTTCACATTGATTTCAGATTAATGAAAGAACACCTGTTTTGCTGTCTTTCCGATCCTGACTTTGACATCCCGGTCTGTGCCGCCACCTGTAGTTGAGAGGATGCTGCTGCCTAGGTGGTAGGTAAAAGAGGCAACTTCCTTTAGGTTTCTCCTGTTGATGGTAATTGGTGCTTGTTGTTGGTGGTAACGGTGGCCGGGTACTTTCATCATCTCTGTCTTCTCTACGTTCACCTAGAAGTCCTGTCTTCCTTCGCTGCGTCCCCTCGTCACTTTTGCCAACTCGTTAGTTTTCGCATGTAGATCTTCGAGCAACATAGTTGACATGATTTTATGTAGTCAGTTGACTACCTTTTTTTAAAGATCCTTCAAAGTGAATTTCTACTTGCTCAATATTATTAGTGACTTGACAGCGGATATGTATATTCATATTTTCGGGTTGTTCAGATCATGACGTGTCTGATGAAATAAGTGAATAATGCTGGTTGCTATCTGTTTCTTGATTATTGATCGGTTTACTGTAATCTTGCAAAAAAACAACTTGCCTTTAAATTTACTGAGACCGTAATCCAACACACAATCCGTGTCTATAGACTTGAAATTTTATCCGACTTCTGCGTCTATTTTAATATCTGGCGTTTTATTTATTGTTTTTCATTATTTCGGTCGTTGCGTTCGAATTACTGACTTCTCTCTCTGTGTCTCCTAATATCTAGAATCCTGCTGACAGTTCTGTACAAACTTCTGTTGAACCACCATCAGCTTCATCTGCAACAGAAAATATTCCCACTACATCCGTTCCAGAAACCCAATCTGCTACTTCCACATCGCCGGTCTCGACTACCGCTTCACTACCGAAGAACTTAATAAATCCTTTGAGACCACAAGTTATTGAAACTTTATGTCAACTTGTTTTAGCCCCTAAATTTACTGAAAATGCTCGAGTTATGACTTCTCAATTGATTACTGACCTGGCACAGGCGAATCAAGTCATGAAAGAATCAATTCTTCGCTTACTGTGTATTACAGCGGGACAGTTGATTTCAAAAATATCTATTCAGTTGCAGGTAATACCATGCGTTCATTGATTTCTATTCTTTATTTCGAATGTTTTATTTTCATCGATGATATGAGAACCTATACTACTTTTGATCTGTGCATATTTATTAAGGATAGATTCCATGACTTATCTGTCCGAAATGATGAAGTACGGTCATTGGTAAGCTTAAGTCGATTACCTAGCATTCATGTAAACACAAGTGTGATGTGTGCATGAAAGAGAGTGGGATAATAATAATAGTATAGTAAAGCCTTTCTCTATATGATGCTATATCACTCAAACCAATCCCTGTAAAGTCAGATGTATCTAAGGTTATGTCCATCTATAACGAAATTTAGCAGTAACAGTGGTCATCCCTGACGGACACCACCAGTTATCAGTTTTGATGATAACTCACCATAATCTCTTGCATGGTTGTGTGAGTTGGTTTAGAGAGCTTCGATAAGCGTTACATACACCTGCTCAGTACTCCTTTCATAGTCACACCACTACAACACCTTATGGTCGACAGAGGTACATGCTGCCTTCAGGTCAAGAAATAAGGTAAGTACCCCTGTGTTTCAGGACCTGTCGGAGGGTAAAAGTATGATCGATGCACCCTTGTCTGGATCTGTCTCGAATCTACCTGCCTGGTTTTCTCGAGTTCTCTGTTCTTAAGCTCCAGTTAGTCGTCCGATGACAATTGATTCTAGAGTCTTGGACACATTATTAGTCAAGCCAGTTCTCCTACGGTTGTCAAAGGTTTCTCCCCATTGTTATTGACTGGGATGATCAGTGAAGTACACCAGTCTCATAGCACTTCCTCTCCCAAATGCTAACTAGTACTTCCGTTACTCTGCTTAGTGATTTCCATTCTATATCCTTAAAAAACATCAGGTTACAAACTGTCAGGTCGTGCTGCTTTACATTAATCATTTCAGCTGAGGAACAATCTTCTCAACTTTGAGGAGAGTTAGAGGACCGACATTCACATCCCATTCAGGTTCTTACCGGGTGTTAGACAACTGAAGTGTTAGTATGCGTCAGTTAAACTAAGCTTAAAGTATTTGACCCAACTTTCTAACCATTATGTTGTTAGCATTTATCTGGTCTCATCCTTTTCTGTGATGATCGCAGTAATCATTGTTTTCTTCTTGGCAGCATACTTAATAGGTCTAAATGATTGCCGGGTATTGCGAGGGCTGTTAGTCAACTCATGTTTAAGCTTCAGGCAGGTGCTTCAGGAATAAAGTTAATCCTAAAAGGATAGCTTGTGGCTATATTATCCATGTGTATCCATCCATCTTTGATTCGACTTCATCGAACTTAATCGAAGCTGTGCAAGCCCTTATGCTTGAAGTTAGAGCTCACCAGAAGCAATCGATTGTCGAGGCAAAATTGTAAAAAAGTTCTTTGTTATCGGTTCGTTTGAATGGAATATCATAGATACCTGCAAGATGTCATTACGGGTGACTCAGCTTTCCTACCATGAAGTTGGATTCACGTGCTTCTATGACTGTACATGAACGTTTTGATTCATGTGACAAAATTGGCTACTTTTTGTAGAGTTCATCCTTTATGTCATCTGAACTGCAGTCGACGGTGGGTAGGTTGTGTAGATCAGAAATAGGTATCGGTGATTGTCACAATTTCTCATAGCCCTTTCATGTGCATCCAGTCACACAGAACACAGATGGATGTTGACTTCAGAAATAGGAAATAGTTTACCAATTTTGGACTGACTTTTTCTAATCCTCCTTTCTCCCTAAGGATAATACTGCTGATTATCAATGGGAAACACTTTACTGCTGTCACACCATTTTAGCCAGCCCTTGAACACCCCCACCCCGTTATAACGTAGCTTTCTGTGTTGCGACGATAAGTGCTTTTTGTCTTGGCACTTTCTAACAGACCTTTCTGTCATGATAGGACGCCAAGAAGCAATCATTTCAGCTAGTGTATCTCATTGGTTGGTTGTGTTATGTAAGCCCCACCACCACGTCAAGTTAGTAGCTATCAGTTTTGAGATGACTCTGTTGACTATTGTGACAATTTTAACCTTTAAAAATCAGTTATGCGTTGATTTTCGTAAATAACAGTTTGTATCGGAATAGATGTTTCAGATATAACTGGATTGTTTCTTCTTTCTCTGTCTGAAGATTACAGTGTCAAGTGTTTATTGCTGAAAGAACCCACTAGATAGTTATTGGAAAATGTTTGTAATTTTTTCTTCGATCAACTCATTCTGTTTTCTATCAGAGCAAGCAGATGGAATACTTCTCAATACAACATCCAGTTGATGTAGCCTGTTATCTAACTGTAACTATGTTTACAATGGCAAACAGTAGTGGTAAAGAATAATTTGTAATTATAAGCCTATACTTCAAATCTATCTGTTTATAGGAAGTATCATAAATTCTCGTCTTATAAGTGTTAGTGTCACGCCGCATATTTCCTACTAACTCTGTGTATTCTGCTAATCACTTTACTTACTACCGTACATTTTTCCAAAGTTGTTCGCAACAAGTAGCAGCTGCAGAATATGTTTCACCCCTAGTTTTTATTAACCGCGTGAAAAGTTTCTTTTCATTCTTACACATACTTAGGATTTGGTGTATGTTTCTTTTTTTTAATCGCTAATATTAATGTATCTCATGTTTTTGTCCGTTACTATTTATGTTTTTTTGTATAGAGTCTTATCATCGAAGTTGATAAACGCTTGAAAGATAAAGTTCTTGAATCACCACCTCCAAAGAAATGTCAAATTAAGCCATCTTCTTCTCGTTATCCACCAGAAATAAGTCGTATCTCTTCCTATGATATACTGCCAGATCGCTTTGGTACTCCTGGACAAATGGTAGTTGTGTCAGGTGATTCACATTCTCAGGCTGCTACTAAATTTTCTGACTTACAATTAACTTCATCTGAAGTTTTTACATGTCCTAACAATGATCAATGTCGTCTTCGTGGTATATTGGGTTTAATGCTGCGTATTGCTGCTGGTGATAGTTCACTAGTTAGTTCAAATCCAATCCCTGTATCATCAGATGATCTTCTAAGCTCTGTGCCTGGTGTGAGTGAATTTTGGAATCATTTATACCAAGCATTTGAAAAATTACAAGCGTTAAATGATCAGAATGCTGTTTTGTTATTACAACCTCTACTTGAAGTATTTTGTTTAGCTCATATCCATTTAGTAAAAGATACTATACTTCTTCGTCAACGTCCAACAAACAATCGATCCAATCGTACTAATTCATGTTCTACTGGTGCATCAAGCCTCATTGATATGGTACCTTTATTGCATATGTGTGTGGAGTCTCCAACTCAGTCAGAACTTGATTCAAACAGAGCTTCAACCACTGATCATCTTGCTCACTTATATTTCGATCTAGGTGGTCCTTTATCTCCAAGTGGTATCACTGCAGAAGAAGATGAAGGATTTACTACGGAATGTCCAGGGACTAGTTGTACAGCTTCTTCCCAAAATTCTTTTTCTCGAAATCCTATAATTCACTTTGCAGATAAATATCGTCGTGGATTAAGTCAGGTATTACGTCAACACGGAGCAAATATAGGCGAGTCTCCTTTTGCTGTATTTTTAGCATATCCTAGAGTGCTTGATTTTGATGTCAAACGCCGTTTCTTCCGACAACAACTTCAAGCTTTGTCCAGTCGCTCAACTTCTAGCAACAGATATGATGATGAACCCATTACAGTGTCAAGAGAACGAATTTTTGAAGATAGTTATTCTAGACTTCATAGAAGATCTTTGAATGAATGGAAGCATAAGTTTGTTATTCGTTTCCAAAGTGAGTTTCTTTTAACTGTATTCCTATATTTATTTGTCACTGCAACCTTTGATATCTTTGGTGTGTATATGTATGGTTCGTCGGTTCAATATGTCATCTTTCTTCTGATTATTATCACTTTGCAAAGAATTTCTGTGGTCGACTCATAGGGAATGATCTACTTATCAAAAAGATACAACTCATTAACTCGATAGAGGTCTATATGCTTAACTGACGATGAAACGATGTGTGACAATTCATAATACTAACTAGTCATGCGGGGTGGAGTGTAGATAGATAGGTTAGGATAGGATAGATTTATGATTAAGGGAACACTTAACTGATGTGACTGAGTTGAAAATATTATTCCTAAGCATTACATGAGTTAATACGAGAATCCCTGGTCGCTTGAACTACAGAATAATCAGTGTTGAATTAAAATGGAAGATTATGTTCTTACTTACCGAATCTTAGAATGCAATATTCATTGTTAAATATTCCAAAAGTGAATAGATATGTATGTTCTTCGGTATTATTCACTAACTGAATCCAGTTGGTAGCAAAAATTGTTCCAACTCGTTTTACTGCAACTAACGCTGATGGTATAACCCTGTTACTATGAAAATGTTAACGCTACGTTTATGTGTTGTTCAGTGTTTCATATTCAATGAATAGTTGATTACCCGTAGATTTGACTGCAACTTATGTTTATTTTCAAATTAAGTCGCTATGAAATTATCAGTTCTAATGTTAAACTTAGGATACTAGACAATGGGGATGGATCAGTCAGTCGATGTGGTTGTTAACTTTCATCGATTCAAGTGGATAGGACATGTGTTGTGTACTTTTATGCCTCGTTTAACCTTAATTTAGTGATATAACATTTGCAGTTAAATTTTACATAATCATATCTCAGGTGGTGATTTTATTCTGGTTAGACTTTCATAGGTTTTATGTTGGAATTATGCCACTTAGCCGACCCACTTGTATGCGTGGTCCTAATGTTGATCTTACCCGCTTACGCAACCTATGGCGCCGCCATGATATCCGATTGTCTAAGTCAGTTGACACGGTTGTGAACCTTCATGGACTGAGATGGCTGACTGGAGAACATGTGTTACGTCTATCTAGTCGCCGTCTGCCTCATCACACAATGTTGGCCGGAGTAGGCTCAGGTTGGAAAAAGGCTCTAGGCTGAAAGACTGAAACATGGCATCAATGTGTATGAAGTGTTTGAGCCATGTGGGCCAATGTAGACTATCTCGTTGAGGTCCGTGGGAGAAGAGAAACCAGTGATTGGATACTGAGTCTAGGTGATATGACTGAGAAGCGCTGTCAGTGGCGCAGATGTATACACACATTATCCTCATGTTAAACACGCTATACGGAATGTAACCATTTTCTTATTCTTCCTTTCTCTCTTTTGGTACTTTATATTTCTCTTGACTGAATTTTCTTTTCTCCATCTTGCGCCTCACTGCCTTTTTGCTTGATGTACTGATATGAGCTGTGGCAATTGGGGCTGATACGTAGTAATGGGTGGTCCTATGTTGATTTGGATGGATGATGGATTGAATGCTGATTTTGTCAGCCAGTCATACTACAGATATTGACGAATTATCCACTCGGCTAATATCAAATAAAGTTTTTATATTTTCTAACAGAGTGCTGGTTAAATTATAACACATAATTTGTTATATTCTCATGAGTATTAACTAATTTTTACTATTTAATCTTTTTTTTTCAATATCTTAGATGAAGAAGGTCAAGATGCTGGTGGCCCACTAAGGGAATGGTTTTTATTAATGAGTCGAGAGATATTCAATCCAAACTATTGTCTTTTCCGTGTCTCTCCTGCAGATCGAGTGACATACACAATTAATCCAAGTTCATATATCAACAGTAATCATTTATCTTATTTCAAATTTGTTGGACGCTTTATTGCTAAGGCTATCCATGATAACAAATTGTTGGAATGTTACTTTACACGAGCATTTTATAAGCATATTTTGGGAGTACCTGTCAAGTAAGATTTTTTTAAAATATTTTCTTTGTACCATACTACTGTTTAAGTATATTTAGATAAGAGAATCAAAACCTTCAGTTATAGAGCTGTTTATCGCTGAATGCTTCTTTTTACCCTCAAATGCCGAACCTCTTAAATCGATCTCCTAATCGTATGTCTCATGATGATTCGTATATTATGATATCGAGGAGCTGTGGGTCACAGGTTTTCAACTCCGCTCCATCTACTGACGTCTAGGCAGTCAGGTAGTTTCACTAGCCTTCACATCATAGATATGGCTCATCGCTTGTTCTACACAGGTGGTTTTTGTGAATACATTTGGAATTTTACTTTCACATTATCATACATCCGACTTACAGGTCGGTGTTTTCGCTGTTATCTCAAATCATCTCTCTGTCTTGTAAGTTGTACAATCAGACAAAACTCTCCATTCCATATTAGATTTGTTTATTCGATTTATAACACACAATGATCCAGTATTATTTACTTGATGACGTTTCGAGCATGAATTATCATTGCTCATAATCATATCAATGTAATCACATTCCTTTCGATATCTGAGTTTTATTGTCGTACAGTTATCCTTGATCTCCACAGTCCTCAAGTTTCAGGAGAAAATATATAGATAAACAGTGGGATCATCAATATCCCCATTCGTAGTAGATATATTTATAGATAGTTGGGAAAACCTGGTTTTACGAACGTATAATCCAGATATGGTGATGATATGTGGATGAAATTTACTGTGTTGAAATCGGAACATATCGACAGTTTCCTCACATATATAAACTAAGTAGTGGACCTAATCCAATTCACATACAAGGTAGAAAATGGACAAGGAGAATTGCCTATGTTGGATTGCAGGATAAAACGAAGAATAGACGGTGGTTTGGATACTACTGTCTACATGAAACCGACACATTTTAACAGGTACCTAGACTTCAGGTCATCTCATCCAGTGTCAAATGTCTAAATGCTGTAGCTGAAAAACTGACAAGTCAGCGCAAAGACCTGAACAAGGGATTGGAGCATATAAAACAAGCTCTAACAGTTAATAATTATCCTCTAGAGTTTATTCAGAAATTTGTACGAACACATGAGAAACAAAATAATAAAAGTAACACAAATAGAAAGGACTTCAAAACCTCCTTTGTGTTATCCAATAAAGAAAGAACATCAGAAACTTCACGTAGGATCCTCAGCAAGACTGGAGCTAGGGTGGCATTTAAACCTACAAACTCATTCAGAGATAAGGTTTGTCGGCTTAAGGATGCGATAGATCCGAATAGGCAAAATAATGGAATGTACCAAGTTTTATGCAATGACTGTGATGTCAAGTACATAGGTCAGAATAGCCGGTCGGGGTGAGTTAGATTAGCGCAACATAAGAATTGAGCTAAATATAGAATGATAGACCCGAATAGGATCAATAATCTAGAAAAAAGGACTCGGTTATTGCAATGTTTACAATAATACAAAAACACAATAGGGTGGGTGGGATAACACTACTATACTCAAGTCCAATATAATTAGGTGGAGATTGAGAGAGAGAGATTACAGAATCTTTGTCCATCGAATCAACCAACACCCAACACATGTAATAGAAATGGTCCAACATCTATACCAGAGATATGGAAAATTTTACGACTGAGAAAAGCAAAGAATGTGAGCTGATAAGACTGAAAGTTATGTCAAAAATAGTGTGATTACTGATGAAAGTCACCAGATATGAGTCTTTGCTTCCCAACTTCCTAACAAAAATTAACTTTTTTTTATACAGAGTATCATACCATCCAACACTTGATTAGTGAACGTTGATTAGCACTACAAACTAAAGTTTTCTACATTGAATACTGTTTGATGACTGTATCTTGAGTTGTTTTCATTGATAAATGCATGATCTTCAATGCAGTGTGTAGTACAGTACTCTGTCCGTTAACCTTACTGAGAAGATCAGCTTTATTTCGGCACTGAAGTCTTAACAGCTGCATGGATAGTCCAACTCTGCAGTGATTCATATTTACTATCCGAAGAATTTGGCGATTACTGAGTATATCTCTTAAGGAATAGACGTCCTGTCGAGAAGACAGATAGTAGAGATACACCTTTCTTAGGAATATCAACAAGTATTCAATCCACATTTTATAACTTCCTTCATTCAGACAATCCTTTTTTTTACAGACGATGATAATTGTTTACGCCTAACTTCTGAATGACATACTTTTTCCAAAAACATTATTAAAATAATGTCAATATTTTTTTTTATTGAAAGAAATGTTGATCTATACACTGGGCGTCATTATTTCTTATTCACTTTGTACATTAAAATTATACAATTACTGATTAACTATTTATTGTAGCATATTTAAATCAAGTCAAATGAAACTAGTTTATTTTCAATAAATGAAGAATATTATTTATCTGATATTTCTGACTCATTAAGTCTTCTTTTATATTCTTACATCCATTCATGTTTCATCTCTTATTCAAGTTATCACTTTTCTTCTTTTTCTTTACCTTTTCTCCCCGTTTTGAATTCAGATGTTCTGATCTAGAAAGTGAAGATTATGAATTCTTCAAGGGATTGGAATTTCTCCTGAGTCATAATGTATCAGATTTGGGTTATGAATTAACCTTTAGTACTGAGGTTTGTTATTATAACGGACAATGGTTAACTTGTTTTAGTATACGATATATATATGAATCTAGTTAGTTATTTTGTGTAAGTAGACAGTTTATTGTGATAGAATTGGAATCTACCATCGATAACCCGGAGGTTGTTGGTTCGAATCTTGTTGTAGCTCAGATTTTCATTTCACTTTCAATCATCATCTAGTATATACATAATTTTTGCTGGTTTTGTTCATAAATCTTGTTGATATTGAGTCTGAATGCTGAAAAATCACATCTCTTTGTCAAATGTCCATTTGTATGTTGTGCATATTGGCTTAAGGTCGTATCCAATTCCGTGGATATAAGTTTCTGCAAGCGAGAGATTTGTATCCATAGCGTAAAGGTTGGTAATCGGAAGCTTAAGTGAATAAACTGAAGCTCTTTATCTTGATTTATGTGAATCTCATCTATCACTTTTATCTGCAAAGTAGTATAAAGACAACTACCCTTTGAACATTACATCGGATTGCTTGACACGTCATTGTGTAGCTGCAATAATATTGCCATAACTTTCATTATGGTAATATTAGTTATTTGATAAGTGAAGCTGTAGCTCATTTAGTTTAGACAGGTTGATTTTCAACCAGCGACTCATGGGTTCAAACTCTGCCCCACCTACTGAGATTTGACTAGCTAGGTAGTATCATTATGAATTACCCCTCATACAATGGGTGTGTCTCGTTGCCTACTGTATGAATGTGAACAAGACTACTGAACTCATTACAATTTATCATGGGTCACAAATTTGAACCTGTTCAGATTGCAATACTTATTGACAACATAGAGTGTAACACAGGTGGGGGGGGGACAGCAGAGACAAACTGGACATAGAATATATTGTATTCTCATCTTTGATAATTGTATTGGAAGCTAACTAATTTGAGAAAGATATTACTCACTTTTTTTTCCAACCTACCCTATTATTATTCACATTTCGACAATTGAGTCGTTTTATTGACCAATACTCAATATAACGTTAGCTGGAATAAACACTAACCATAGTAATTAGATGCGTATGATAGTTTAGCCTTGATATCTCTTATTATCATTATACTTTTCAGATAAATGAATTTGGTAAAACAGATACTCGTGATCTGATTGAAAATGGTCGTAATGTTCCAGTTACTGAAAGTAATAAAAAAGAGTATGTTCGTCTAGTTTGTCAAGAACGTATGACAGGTGCTATTCGTCAACAGTTGGATGCTTTCTTAAGTGGTTTCTATGATATTATTCCAAAAAGAATGATCAGTATATTTAATGAACAAGAATTAGAACTTCTCATCAGTGGTTTGCCAAACATTGATATCTCTGATTTAAAGATGAATACAACTTATTCAAAATATCAGCCTAATTCACCACAAATTGAATGGTTTTGGCAAGCTCTTGAATCATTTGATCAAGAAGATTTAGCACGTTTCCTTCAGTTTGTAACGGGGACTAGTAAGGTCCCTCTGGGAGGATTCACAAATTTAGAAGGAATGCATGGTCCTACTAAATTTCAGATTAGTCGAGCAGCGATTTCAAGTACTAGTCACTTACCTTCTGCACATACTTGGTGAGTGTTGTTTAATGTTATTTTTTTCTTTTTGGCATTTGTCATAATTCATGCGTCTGGAAGTTGGTTAGAAAACCAGTTGAATTGTGTCGCTCATAGTCTTCAGTCTGCTTTGAGAAGTTATTGTTCACTCCCTCTCGTTGCTGACAGCTCTGATATATCGTTACTTAGACTATCTTGCGCTCCAGTGACCTACTACATAACACCTTGGCCTTTTGAAGCGATACGCACTGGGTTCGAGTCTCATCGTGGTACAGCTACATCTAGTGAGTCCCAATGGAACGAAATGCTAGTTCTGGATTTCATTGGTAGCCACCAAACAGATTATGGCATAATGCGTAATCGGGCTGTATTGAGACATCCGCATAGGAGCTCATCTACCAACAGAGGTCGTGCAATTCGACCCAGCAGATCAATGGGGGAGATTACAAATATCAAACAACTTATTTTTAAGTTTCATCCATTTGATATGACTTCTAAGTCTTCGTTTTTGCTATCTAAAAGTTCTTATAGCCATTCAGAAGAGCTATTCCGTTTATATTTCTTCAGTTGCTTATACTTCATACTTTGTTTGACATTAACTGAAATGAGTTATCAGTTAGCAATTCGTAAAACTAAGGCTGCTTCGTAAATTGTTGGACTCGCTTTCGTACTCCGGTGCTGAAGAAGTCACCTGCTGGTATGATTATGCCCGTACAGATGTTAGCCATGACCGTTAAAAGTAGATGACATGAGACGGTTGCAGGGTTTTGATCATAGCATTGCTCACGTTCGGTGGAATCACCGTGTGAGCTATATTGACGTCAGAAAAATACTAGGCAAAAAAGCAAGTCGATTGATGAAGTTGTGAACCTCAGTCGACTGAGATGACTCTAACATGTACTGTACATCAATGTGCCATACTAGGGCAAGTTGGATTAGGTTGGAAGCGGGTTCAGGGTGACCAGACTAAGACGTGGCACCAATCGATGAAGTCTCTTACTGTTGGCCTGAGTCGTGTTAGATGTAGACTGCCTAGCTGGGATCCTCGAGAGGAAAGCAATTAGTAGTTAAGAATTCTTAGTGATATCACAGGAAATTAGTCATAATGGCGCAGATGTATTCACTCCTTGACATCTTCTAAAGCTTGAATATTCACACTAACCATTATCTTCAGATTGTTTATTCTCTCATACTACATTATCCACTTTGACGTCACTCCTTTTCGATCCACCTGTTCTTTGTATACTACTGTAAAGTGTGCAAACTTGTGTGCAATATTCTACGCTGATTTTTTTCAGTTAGTCAGTCAGTGATGGTTACACCTGTATCTATTACTTTTGGGAGTGTATTTGACAATTCACAGTGTAAATTTTCCCTTAAACTATTCTAAATTTCAGTCAACTTATGTTGCTGATGAATAACATGAAAACGTATCTTTTGATTTCACAGTGATTAAACTTGTTGTATAAAGTCATGTAATTAAATGGTATAGAGACTAGTGTCAAATTAGATTCAGTTATTAAGTATGCTTTTCAGTCAACACTTCGCACTGAAGAATAATATCATGTTTCTTGTTATCTTTTATTTTATTGACGGTTATTTAGAGTTAACTGCATTATATTGTAATGGTAAATTAGTTTGATAAATTTACAGTTTTCAAATGTCAGCTGAGTGAATCTGCTTATAATCATTAACAATTTTAACATATTTTTTTCACTAGATATTCATTCTTTATTCATTGCTTACTTTCACATTCCAGCTTTAACACGCTTGTATTACCAGCATATGAGAATTATGAACAGTTAAGATCGAGACTATTGATGGCTATACGTGAATGCAGTGAAGGCTATGGAATGGCTTAATTGAAATACACAAAACAACAACTTCATTATACTTGTTGTCTGTGTGTGTGTGTATGTTTATCATCACTCCTCTTTCTACCTATTATGTGTTATCCCACTTTTAAGCGTGAAAAGAAAAAACCGGCAGCTGCCTGGCTTTACTGTGATGTAATATCATGATAGTGCTATGTATATGGTAAAGAGAGGTGATGTTAATGAATTATTGACAGTACTATTACGAATTGCTCCAATCTATTTCAGTATATATCTACATCTCTGTTACTTCTCTTAGATTTTTTTTGTTCACTAACTCTATTAAAATTCTTATTTCGAACCACTTTTTGATATTACATTAAACTATGCTCATTTTCATAAATTTACTACAGGAAGTACACAACATCACATTCTATAAACTTAGTTACAACAGTATCCTAACCATCTGTTACACACTGTTTAATTCCCTGTATTCTTTCTCATGTAAAGCTGTTGTGTGTTTGTTTTTCTATACTTTGTTCAATGAGTGAATAGTTGAAGAAATGATTATTTGAAACGAGAAAAATGAATGATACCACACAGAATCCTCTTCTACACACTCATATAAAGGTGAGTTTATTTTCTTCTGTTTTGTTCTCTCTTCTTCTGTCTCTTTTCTATACACATATAAACATTTCTCTTTCTGAGGATCTCCATTTTTCTAACATTTTTTCCAAATGTGCGCATTGTTTCGACTTTTTTTTTGGTTTTGATTTTTAAATTAACTAAGTATTTTCGTTCATGAAGTTGGTAATGTGTAGTAAATTTTTAATGCATCTTGTCAGATTTCTTTTCTGATATCTATATTTCTTTCAATTTCAGTTCAAAGTATAAGAATTTCCGTATTATAGTGAAATCACAAAGGAGTATTGTTGTGGTGATTCTTAGTTTTGTGTAAACGTTCACAGAGTAGTGTGTACCTGACACTTTTCGACACGTAATTCAGGTCATCATAATTCTCTATCATTCAAACTGATCGTTCATAATCCTAGCGTTTGCTGGAATTACAGTGTGAACAATGTTGAGGTCAGACGAAGAGCACTAGGCAAAATAAGCAAGTCGATTGATGAGGTTGTGAACCTTCACTGTTGGAGCTGGCTTGAACGTGTGTTGCGCATGCCGAGTCACTCTCTACCTCGAAGTGCCATGATAGAAGAAGTTGGATTACAGGTTCGTATTCATCATGAACTGACATCAGCTGGAGAAACATTGGGAGCACTGGACAGCTGTTTTGTTCTAGTATGGGACTCCTCAGTAGTGCGCGCCCATAGCCCCGCCAAGGGTCGAACCGAAGACCTTCAGGTTCCGTGTCCAGCACGTTACTATTGAGCCAGTGGTTCGGGATCCAATGGTCCATATTTATTTTTGTTAGTTCACGAGTAACTGTCCTCATGTTTGACTTGACCGATGGTAACGCGATGACCACGGAACCTGAAGGTCCTCGATCCGACCGAGCCCTAGTTGAGGTCACGGGTGTGCACTGCTGAGGGAGTCCCATACTAGGAAGAAACAGCTGTCAAGTGCCTCCAGGTTTCCAACATATTTCCAACTGATATCGGCCCATGATGAATACTAACCTGTAGTCAATAGGTAGGCCCCCACAAACCTCTAAATTGAAGTTGGATTTGGTCAGAAACGAGTTCAGCTCGAGACGTGACACCAGTTGATGAGGTCTCTGACTGTTGACCTGATTCGTACGGGGAGATGTAGACTGTCTCTCATAGGTCCCTGAGACGAAAGGATTCAGTGACTGAGAACTCTTGGTGATATGACTATAAATCGGTCAGAATGGCGCAGATGTATTCACTCTTTGACGTCTAAAGTTTGAATATTTGCACTAAGCTTTATATTTAAACTACTTGTCCTCTCAAACTACTTTTATATCACTATTTTTCGACCCACTTATTCTTCGTATGCTACTGTGAAGGTTCGGTGCGAATTTTGTCTGTCTGTAGTTTATGAGTACACAATAAGATAACTGGTTATAAAGTAGCACCAGTATGTATTTGACTAGCCCGATTGATAGTGACTTCTTGGTATGACTTGAAGAAAGATTGATATACGTACTTGCTGAACAGATGAATCACTGGTTAAAGTGTGTTTACGGAATTTGAGAAACGAACGATCTTTAGTGATTGTACATACAAGGTAAGCAAGCGAATAGAAAAGGCATCTTAACTCGTAAATGACGTAGCGACTTTATATTAGATTTTGGAACTATTTTCATTACTTCTGTAGGAATGTTTAAACCACTTTACTCCATACATAAAACTAAACTAGAAATTGCAGTCAAAACATCCTCTAGTAAATTTTATCGTTTCACTGTATGATTCATAATAAGAGAAGTATAATGGAATTATACTTCACCACAATGCTCCAATTCTACTCTTTTATAAATCTGATTTATTTTAGAGTGGAGTGATTTTATATCATCTTAAAAGCAGAGAGAGGCAACAAGATAATTATATTGAAGTAGTATAGTGAGTGAAGTGGGAGTGTATCACAACTGTATATTTATATACTCGTCGTTTACGTTTGATTCTTTGTATTATTAATTGCTGCGTTACTTTACCTGTCTTTCAGCCAGCTGAAACTCACGTTGTTAATTATCTAGCATCCCAAAACCTTAAGCTTACTGGACAAGTAGATACACCTGCTTTTATTCAGATTCAGCTTCTGAATTTTCGCGCACCAAATAATCTTCATTTTAATGTTATCGTCATGATTATTTACAGTAAAGTGTACTTTGTATACAATATATGCTGACCGGAAGTTTTATAGTATTTCTGAAGATACCTTGTTGCTAATCTAAAGAGATACCGACTGAACAGCCAGTGGGGTATGACCGTTACTCACCTTAAGACAATGGCCTACTGCTATTTTTGCTTCGCTGTAAGAACTAGGAACTTCGGGAGATGAGAAAACGCTAATGGGTTTGGATGCATCAACACACTAAGGCTGGCTCTAAACTCAATAAGGATTAAAACTTACTGAAATGCAGAGTGGATTAGGTCCTACACAATAGTTGTTGGCAGAGGAAGTTTAACGGTTATAAGACATGGCGATGGTCGGTAATAACAGATAGTTGTTGGGATTTAGAAAACACATGGTAAGATCCTTTGTCCGTAAGCCTATCCCAAAGGAATATAAATTAGTTACTCATCAAAAATATAAGTGACTATTTAGTTGCCCATTATCTAGTCGGAACTTAAATGTGGAGCTGTCATAGAGCCTTCAAATCTAACTAATAGGGAAAAGAAATTGGCCCACTGTAAACGTCAGTCAATCCTGGTGATTTAAAATCAGAGGCTTGTGAGGATTTATTGCTTTCAAGGTGGTATTTTATCACGGATTAACATCGGTTGGAGAACCATTGCAAACCAGGGGGCACTGGGCAGCTGTTACGTCGCCAAGCAGGTCACGACTTCTCGTTAAGACTTAGAAATCCATCTGAACGCATGTCGCTAATGAGCTCTGGGCAGTATTTCAGTTCTGCAGGTTTGTTGGCATTCGTTCATTTCAAGGTAGTATTCGTCGATTGTTAATATCAGTTAGAGGTTCTGGACCAATGGCTGTGCTGCTTTGACATCGTAGTCGGGCTTGAATTTCACAATGACCCGACGAGCTATGCTGGTGGGACGCTTGTTCCCTCGAGGTTTCATCATACCAGAAAGGTTTATTGGATTGTAGTAAGATGAAAAGCAGATACCGTTGTAGTGTATATTGCTACGATGTGGTCGGGGGTTCGAGGGCGAAGTCGTACTGCTGCTAGCTAGGTGGAGTATGACAACACTGAGGTGCTACGCCTGCGCTCCCCTTTCAACGGAAGGGGAGTTCAAAAAGAATGGCCACTAAAATAACACACTCCACCATAGCCCACAGTCTCCCGGTCCCGGCGATATAGGTGTTTTGTCTATCCAGCGTTAAAACAACCAAGCCTAAAAACAATCCACAGAAGACTGTGGCAGGCTTCAAGCAGGTGTTCCATGAGCTGAGGCCGCACAAATATTTTTCTCTTACAGGTACCTTAAGAAGACAACCTTCCACAGTGTGGGCAGCCGGAAGTGTAAACCGCCCCAAGTTACTTCAGACCTTCCACGTCCCTTACCTTCTAATCTCCCCTCGGTTAACAATCCTACATCATGTTTAATTTCTTCGACCTCTGCAGTTTTCGACAATAATGAGTCCACAGAACAGCAGCATCCTTGGTTTCCTTAAACCATGCTCCAAATTACACATTGGAGCCTTCAATGTCCACATCTTCGGTCAAATTGGTCAAAACTCAGGCTGTGGATGTTTGCTGTGTCTTTGAGACACACATACAGGACCCAATTGTGGTTATTCACTTAACCTCTCCCAGCCTATATGTTCAATCTGCAAAATTCACTGTCTGAGTTTCTGCAGACTCGATGGCTGCTTCTCACGGTCTTGTAGGTGTCGGCATAGCATTAACCATTAGGGCAGAAAGCTCACCAACAGACTGGATCCCAGTTGATGGTCGCCTATGCGCTGTCCAGCTAAACAGCACAATGAGAACTAAAAGGAATAGTGGAACTCGCCATTCATTGTCTCTTTGTAATCCTTGCTTACGCACCCACTGACTGCAGTTCGGATTAAGTGGAGTAGGAGTTCTACCGAAAACTGTCTAGCCTCCCTCTGAAAGCTAAACGTTCAGACGTGGTTGTTGTTGCAGGTGATTTCCATGCACAAGTGGGTAGACTGATTCAGGTATCAAGGCAATTAGGTGGCACTTTGGGAATCCAGGCTGAACGAACAGATAACGGTGATCGCCTACTGCAAGTGTGCTCAGTTAAAAGTTTATTTCTAGCTGGAACAAAATTCAGACATAAAGATGGACATTATCTGACGTGGCATCCACTGAGCTCAACTCACTGATGGACACAGGTAGACCACGTTATCATCAGTCATCGCTGGGGATGGTCGGTTGAAAACTGGCTGTCACTCTCTTTCTGAAACACGGGTTCGGGTTGCGACCACGTGTTGGTTCAAGCGCATATATGTCTGCGTCTCAATGGACATAGAAAAACTTCAGCAACAAGACCATTACGAGTGCAGCTCGGCAATGAGAGCACTAATGTGGCTTTCAGTGAGAAACTAGTTAGGCAGTTATCGGAACAGGAGACGGTCAGTCATCCAGAAGAATCTTGGTGCCATCTCCAGTGTGCCATGAAAACAGCGTTGAAGACCATACCTGATTATCAAAGAGTCATGAACATAGGACCGACGAGGCATTACTATGTAACGGTCCAACTTGCCACAACTCATATCACTACATCGAGTAAAAAGGCAGTGAGGCGCAAGATGGAGAAAAGAAAATTCAGTCAAGAGAAATATAAAGTACCAAAAGAGAGAAAGGAAGAATAAGAAAATGGTTACATTCCGTATAGCGTATTTAACATGAGGATAATGTGTGTATACATCTGCGTCACTGACAGCGCTTCTCAGTCATATCACCTAGACTCAGTATCCAACCATTGGTTTCTCTTCTCCCACGGACCTCAACGAGATAGTCTACATTGGCCCACATGGCTCAAACACTTCATACACATTGATGCCATGTTTCAGTCTTTCAGCCTAGAGCCTTTTTCCAACCTGAACCTACTCCGGCCAACATTGTGTGATGAGGCAGATGGCGACTAGATAGACGTAACATGTTCCAGTCGGCCATCTCAGTCCATGAAGGTTCACAACCGTGTCAACTGACTTACCACTTTTTCTCCCTAAAACTCTACATTTGATTTCTGCGTTACTCACGTGGTGACACCATGGAATACGGCTTATACTACGAAGACTACGGTGGTCAAACACTTGAAGCCTGTCCTCTCATGTCTTCCACTTGCAATGGTCATGTTTCACAAC